TTGAACAAGACATTGTCGAATGGAAGATAGAAGATCTTTATAGGGTGATAAAAAAGTAATAGCAATCATACACACACAGAGTATACGATTGACAGGGCCTTCAGGGCTCCAATCCAATTAGAATTTTACACAGCCATATAATGACTTCATGGTTTTGGTGGTACTTTGTTCAATGTATTCAGAGATTGTACTAAATCAATATATTGACCTCTCCTAGAATAAACGTTAAATGTTGATTACGTTGATTAGGTTTTAGATCCAATCACAGCTTATCAGGGGGAGAAAATGACAGTTTTGTTGATAAGAGCGGTCAGATACCAGCAGAGACCAAAGAGGCGTGGGGGATGCTGCTGTCCCTGTGTAGTCTACGGAGAAGTGTGGAGGCCAAACAGCAATACAGCTGTTGTATTGCTGCTGTGTACAGCAGCAATAATCAGATGTATGTGTTTGTCCTCATGGCATCTGTGGAAGAGTGTGGTGGGACACAAGACTTTATGAAAGAAAAAAAAAACAATGTCCAGAATCACTGTCTAAACCTGCCAGTTCTCCTTTTAATGTTTAATTACAAGTGTTGTGGACGTGTGTACCTGATCTAGTGCCAAAGATTGTTAGCACAAACATGTTTCCCAAGTATTTTGACTGAAATCTGCATCACTGCGCGGTAAAAATACACAAGGGGCCTATTTTGGGCTGGATAGCGTTCATTCCCCTGCACAGCACGTTGGCGTGCGGTGTACATGCTTCAGGTTTCTACAACGGGAGCACATCTGAAATTAGCCCCACAGTGCTCCAAGCATGTCACCGTGTCTTTCTACTTCAAATAAGGCATGCGGTGTGTCGAGGCTGTGAGGCTAAATGACTGGTCCAGTATCTGCCCTTCTCAAAAAGCGAAGTATTTTACCAATTATATTTGCAACAATAAAAGAATCATTACATTACATGAGCTTCCTGATCTATAGGGTTATAGATCCACACTTTTCTATAAACCCCCCACCTAACTCGTGTTAAAAACAATGCTTTGAACAATTTCTTAAATTGAGTTTAGTTTTTGTTGAACTTTGATCTAAAACTGCATTTGATTTATTTTGAACAGAACAGTGTAATGAATCGAAGATGTTATAAGTACCCAAAAAAGCCTTGGGTTGAATTGGTTGTTGCCCTGCAGTCGCTCACACTCCCATTCACCCTGAACTATTATACATGTTTTTAGTAATATGAGAAACTTGAGCACCAAGAGGAAATCTGGCCCAGGGATTTAACCAAGGACTTTCATTCTGTGAAGCAGGAGCAATAACCACTGTGCCACGTATCAAACTAAATGGCTTTTAACAGTGGGGTGCCCCAAGGATCAACCCTAGGACCCCTTCTATTGAATCGCTACATTCTGCTTGTACAGATAAGAGCTGATATGGGCTCTATATGACAGATTGTTACTGTTTTAAAAAAAGTTTACTCTCAGGTCTGAAATTACTATACAGTACACCGGTGAAAGCTAAATAGTTTTGGGTTTACAAAGTCAGAGTGAGGCTACGTTACCACGCAGGCAGAGGGAGGCGGGCTCTCAGGGAGAGAGCACAGATCCAAGCCTTTCAATAATGGTGACATCAGCTCTATGCAAGAGATGACTATACTTTCTAAGTTTTAGGTGTTGAAAGTATCACCTAAATAACTATCACACATGTGTTTAGGATGGACTGTAAAAAATAAGAAAAGCGAATTATAGGACCTTTAAGGTACTAAACAGTCATAGTGTCCTTTCATGAGTCTGGTGTGTGTGTGTGTTTGAGTGCCAGAATATGATGCCAAATACAGAATCTAAAAAAATGCAGCAATAATTTTATATAAAAACATGAAATGCACACATGTTTTTGTGTTTCACCGTCCAGCCCTTCAAATAGGTGTGGTATTGGCAAACACACCAGTGCAGGATGTGAGTTTGAGGGGGTCAATTAATCCAGGCCATAATTACCTCCGCTGTTACAAGCCGCAGAGCACGACCAGGTGTTTAGCAGGAAACGCTAAGTGACAGCTTTGCCTTCCTCTCATTTACATTTGTGTACAAATATAGGCAGTTTTCTCCAGATAGCCAAAAAGCTATAATACGTCTATAAATATCACAAATGTCACACCATTTTGGTCCAGAATTGCACAAAAGTGAGTATACATTTTAGACCATGTATTGTATTGTTTATCAAATCTTTCATTTTACCCATCTTGATTTCATCTTTGAGCCATTATTTACGGTCCAACCTTTAAGTACCAGAATGAGTTCATATGCAACATTGAAGTGTCTGTCACCAGGGCCATTCATCTCCACGTGCATCTGTCCCATGCAGCGCTCAGACCCACACAGGAAACAGGTCCACTTTCACTTGTGCGCAGTGACTCACAGCACAACAGCATGAGTCAAAGTGCTATGTGTAGTTTAGCAGTTTAACTAGCAAAACATTGCGATGCGAGTTAAAAAAAAAATACTATGATGCAGCTCAAATGAATTGTATACGTAAAAAATGTTTTCCACACACCGCGAGTTTGGTCGGCGTGAAAAGGAAGTGTGGTTGGGAAGTGGTGCAGCTGGGTTTTCTTCGTACAAAGGCAAGCAGTTGTTGGACACTTCATTGGAAATGTACAATATGTAATTCAACTTGTGCCTTTTCATGTGACCTCTATATATCTGTCAGCGAGAATAGATGTATAAAATGTCATAGTCAGCAGCAGTAGCAGTAATATTGCCCTGTGTCCTGAGACTCAGATACTATTGACAATGATTAAGCCTGGTTCACACGAGACGATTTAAAAATTGTCGGACGATTTTTTTTCTCTGTGTGAGACCCCACACACAGAGATAAAAAATCAAGGGTCTAGTGTCCAAACCGGTCCAGAAAGGGCCGCTGTGGCTACAGGTTTCTATCAGACCCAGCAGGAGCAGAGCAGACTCCGCCCATTTCCTCAATTAAGCTCAGTGAAGATTTGAGGAAATGGGCGGAGTCTGCTCTGCTTCTGCTGGGTCTGATAGAAAACCTGTAGCCACAGCGGCCCTTTCTGGACCGCTTTGGTCACCTTTGGTCACCTTTGGTCGTACAGTGTGTGGTGCGCAGCCACACGGCAAAATCACGCAAACCACAAACATCACACACGAACCGATTTCCCCCCCGAGCATTCCCAGATCAGAAGGAAATCTCACAAAATCTTTCAAGATCAAGCGTGACTTCAGAGTAAACACACATGGCGGACGAAGAGGATGCAGTGGCGAAAGTTTGTTTTTATCTGAGAAAAGACGTAATCAAAAGAAAAGGCAATGGTCAAAGAAGTGGAGACAACACGAGCATGGACTATACTTGCTACATCGTGATATGGAGGCGAGTTGTTTTTTTACGGCGTTTCCTCGCCGCCTCGTCTCGTCTTCTGATTGGTCTACGCCGCAGTCATGGCAACGCGCTCGTCTGGCCTCGGGGGACACCACACACGAGGAGAAATCGGGCCAAAACACTCCAACATGTTGGATATCCGATATTGAGATCGGAGCAGTTCCGAAGTCCTTCCGAGCGACGAGCGCTGTCTTAACACACCACACACGGCAGGAAAATCCATCAGATTTTTTGTTACGATATTTGGAGCGTTCTTACGATTGTCGTAGGGGTAAATCAGGTCCAAAATCAGCCCAATTATCCTGCCGTGTTCTCCCCATGTCTGTGTAGGCTTCCTCCAAGTGCTCTGGTTTTCTCTATCACAAAAAAAACATACACTTGGTCTGGCATGTGCCTCTCTGTGTGGAGTGAGAGGACTAATGCCCACAATAATTGTAAAGTGTTTTGTGAATCTGGTTTGTGAAAGGGTCTATAAATAAATATTACTTTATTGCTAATTACTTACTTTTTCAGACAGAAAAGTGCAAAAGAGTCAACTCAAAGTTTCAAATGCTGACTCACAGGCGTCTTTCTTACTAACAAATACCTTTCTGATGTAGGTGTCATCATGAGGAGAGAATTTAGACAAAAATGGATTTGTTTTCAAAAAATACATTATTTATAATATTACAAAGGTGATACAGAGTGGATTCTCCTTAAATATGAAAAAATAGAAAATGGCTTTGTTTGAATGCTAATTTGTTCTGTTTTTCTTTTTATTCTCTCATGTATTATGTTATGTAAGTGAGTAAGAAGAACTAGAAATAAGTTTTACATCTTCCCGCTCCTGTTGAACCATGTAAACTGATAACTTTGATCTTCTCCAGTGATGTTGTTGCTTGTAGTTACATACTCATGCTTACAATTGAAAAAAATCTAAATCTTAAAAAGTCTCAGTTTGTGTAGAAACCATTACCTGATCCCTGAGTCAACACACATTTTTAGCTTTGTGGGCTGAGTGTAACAAAACCTCATTGTGAAACATAAAAGGGCATTACATTCTAATCTCATAATTATAAATATGTGGATAGTGGGGGAGGATATGCTTACGGTAATGTCATCTTAACCAAACATTTTATAACAATGGCTCTACTCGACTATGGGCTTTTGTGGATGTCTTTGTCAAACCAACGGACCGCAATGTTAAAAAGATCTATTTATTTACTCATGACGCCAGCGGGAAAAGGAGCGGGAAAAAGGAGCTGACGCTGACTAGATAAACTACTGCCCTCTGGTGTCGTAATAAAACCTCTCTCTCAGTGCAAGAAGTCCTTTTGAGAAGAGGTTATTTCTTGGACAGAAACTTCTTGTTGTTTCCTAAAAACGTTTTTTTTTTTTTTTTTTTTTTTTAAATAAGGATAATGATCATACTGTATATTCTCAACTTCAAGCTTCTGTTTGTACTGTGTGAAAAAAGTGTGACAAAATGTTTAAGTAATATTGAAAACTTGTTTTTATTTTTTTTAATTAAGGCAAGTTTATTTGTATAGCACAATTTATACACAAGGCAACTCAAAGTGCTGCACCACACAGCACTAAAAACCACCTCATGCACCTGGAGCAGGGGTCCATATGTGATGAGTGGACCGGAGATTACTTCTTGGACAGAAACTTCATTTTATTTCCTAAAAAGACAAAGTTAATGGATATTATTTCAGCTAATGTACAAGGAAAATTATGAAAAAATTCTGCTTAAAGTAATCAGCATTTATGAAACAAATAAAATAGTATATGATTTTTATCATTATATATCTGTCAATGGAGCAGTCATACATATTTTAATATCTAATTAGAAAAGGACAAAGTCATTTTTTGCAACAAGTGAAGATGCTGCTGCATTCACGTGTTGTTTGATACTAGTAACATACTCAAAGCTGGGTTTATATAACTTTCCAACCACAAAGCATGCATTTTGTGGCCTTTGTCACATCTTTAGATAATTTCCTGTACCATTTTTGAGACAGCGACAGCAAAAGGACCAGCCTCACTCAGCAAAACAGTTCTCAGCCTAAATTTCTCTTACAAGAATTCAAACAATAAAATATATTCTAACACAAAGTGAATGGATGGTGCTGGTTGGAGGCTTTAATGTAGCAGTGGAGAGAATGGAAAAATATCTGAACTCTGAACATTGTAAAGTCTGTAAAAAGCGCAATATAAATAAATATGACATACTAATACGGTGGAGAACAGCATGTTTTGGTCTGGTGTTTTCACAACATTTTACTTTTCCAAGACTCGGCGTGTTAAGGCCCACTAAAGCACAATGTAAGATCTTACCAAGACCTTTGAGGAAGCGGTTGACTCTGCGATGGTCATTATCATGGATGGACAATAGATACTCGTGCACTCTGACTTCAAACAGCCCTGTGCAAAAAACAAACATACTACACGGTCACTTTAAACGGAATATATACAAACATACTATATGATTAGATTCATGCTCATTTCAAAATGTCTTTATGTTTCTGTTGATCATGATGTTTCTGAGTATTTGCCCGATGTATATTTTCAATTAGATTTTTACCAAACACGAAACATTATTGGTGTAATCCTGTTGAAGATTGGTTGTGGAAAAGGTATCTCTGCCTCAAGCTTCTGTTTGCACTGTGGGGAACTCTGACTATGACAACAAAAAATCTATTTTATAAGATTGGATAAGCCTTTATTCATGCCACAGTGGGGGAAATTTTAATGTCAGCGTTGCACACATTACAGTAGATAAAAAGGAGGAAATAAGAGCACTCAGATTGCACACATCAAACAGGATCTATTCTTTATGTTGTGCTTCTCGGCTTTATTACCTGCCTTAGGACAAAGGATGCAATTTAGCTATTGTGCTAATTCCAGCATATTTATATTGACGCTGTTAGCAGACACTTTGATTGATACAAATAAATAAATAAAGAATGTAAGATAAGAAAATAAAATAATAACATAAAATCAAACTCTGGACCAATAATTGCACTTGGTAAATACAATAGATAAAAACTGTTATGACAAAACAGTGACGTACCTAAAAACAGAAAGGAAGACAATTTAAAATATAATCTCAAATCAAAACGTCTATATATTTAGTATCAAAAAACAAATATAAAAAGACAATAAAGTATCTGTTAGAACTAATGATATACATCTAAAAATCTATATGTTTTTAGCACCTAAAGAAGAGCTCTGCATTGTCTCTATGGTAAAAGCTTTGTGCCAAACACTAGAGTCCCAACATATTGCACCGGCTCAGAAATGTGTTTTAATTTGAATAAACACAAATATAACAGAAGGACAGCAGTTAGACGGTCCAACTCAGGAAATCTAATTCCAATTCTTTGTAATCAATCAACTAAACCCACTGACACTGATATTATTCTTAACCTTGCTCTGCTTAATGTCAGATCACTATGCAATAAATCCTTTTTAATTAATAATTTTATCTGTTCTTATGATCTTGACTTTATGTTTATGACTGAAACTTGGCTTGACCATAATACAGAAAATGTAGTCTTAATAGAAACAACACCACCAAATTTCAAATTTGAATCAGAAATTCGAGAAAATAAAAGAGGAGGAGGCATAGCAGCAGTTTTTAAAGATTGTATTGTCTCCCATAGAGTACCTCTTGGGAAATTTTCCTCATTTGAGTATGTCTCTTTTAAAATAGAACAAAAACAATCTTCTATTCTTATTATTGTTGTGTACAAGCCGCCACAGTCATGTCATAGTTTCACTGATCATTTCACCGAGTTGCTTTCAGTTGTGTGCACAGACTTTGATAGTTTAGTCGTCATAGGTGATTTTAATATACATGTAGATAACGTTAATGATAGATACGCGAAAGAATTGAGCTCTGTGCTGGAAACCTTTGGTCTCACTCAGCATGTGAGTGGCCCCACCCATAGCAGAGGACACACTCTCGATCTGCTAATTACTAAAGGGGTTAATATCTCAAATGTAAATGTGGCCAATGTTGCTCTGTCAGATCATTTCTGTGTATTTTTTGATATGTGTCTCAATAGTAAAGCACGAGCTGAATCCTCAATTGTTAGAAGAAGAAGACACATAAACGAAAATACAGGTGAACTTTTCATGGGGATGATAAACTTTGATAACACGTTGTGTTCTACTGTGGATGAATTACTTAACTCTGTCACCTCTAGTGTTTTGGATGTTCTGGACACGATTGCTCCTGTAAAGGTCAAAATTGTTACAAATAAGCAAAAGGCGCCATGGACAAAAGCAGACTCTGTCAGGGCACAGAAGAGAGAGTGCCGGAGAGCCGAGCGGAAGTGGCGAAAGTCAAATCTCCAAGTTGACCATGAGATCTTCAAAGATGCATTGTGCAAGTTCAACAGTGTGCTACGTAGAACGAGGGAAACTTATTTTTCCGAAACAATCGAAGGTTGCAGTAACAATCTACGCGTTCTGTTCTCAACAGTAAATAAATTGACAAATCCCCCTGTTAAGATGCCATCAGAGCTTACCTCCAAAACCAAATGTAATGAGTTTGCAGAGTTTTTTAATGACAAAGTCCAAGGCATCAAAAATGCCATCACCTCCACAGTAGAAATTACAATCCAACAGCCAGTGAAGCTTTTTGGGCTGACACACTTTACACCAGTACAAAATGAAACTGTCCGAATGATTATTACAAGTCTGAGTTCTTCTACATGCAGCCTGGATGTATTACCTCCTAGATTTCTTAAATCTGTTCTGAGCAGTCTTTTACCTTCACTCACGCATATAGTAAATATGTCTCTTGAATCTGGAACATTCCCAATGGCCCTGAAAACGGCAGTCATCAGACCCCTCCTAAAAAAGAGGAGTCTGGATGCCTTGGCACTTAAAAGTTATCGGCCCATTTCAAATCTGCCTTTCATGGGTAAAATTCTAGAAAAAGTTGTCTATCAACAACTTACAGAATTTTTAATAATCAATCACTCTTTTGATATGTTCCATTCTGGTTTTAGACCCCACCACAGCACAGAGACCGCTCTAGTGAAGGTAACGAATGACATCAGACTTAACACTGACGCAGGAAAAGTCTCAGTTCTTATCCTCTTAGATTTAAGTGCTGCTTTCGACACTGTCGATCATGGTATCCTCATTCAGAGACTTGAGGACTGGGTTGGTGTTTCTGGTACAGCCCTAAGCTGGTTTATGTCCTACCTACAGGACAGAAAGTATTTTGTGGAGATCGGAAACTGTATCTCAGACCATCTGGCCCTAACCTGCGGAGTGCCACAGGGGTCAATCCTGGGGCCTCTCCTGTTTAATATTTACATGCTGCCTCTGGGTAGGTTAATACACAGTAATAACGTGTCCTATCACAATTATGCTGACGATACTCAGGTCTATGTGTCCCTGACAGCAGGAGAACATGGACCAGTGGACTCGCTCCTTCACTGTATCCAACAAATCAGTGATTGGATGCAAAATAACTTTCTCCAGCTAAACACAGAAAAAACTGAAATTATTGTTTTCGGACCTCAAAAACAAAGAGAGAGCGTTATCTGCCACCTCCAGTCTCTCTCCCTAAAACCCTCAACTCAGGTCAGAAATCTAGGAGTAATAATGGACTCAGACTTAAATTTCAATAGCCACATATCATCTGTGACATCATCAGCTTACTTCCACCTAAGAAACATTGCTAAAATTAAAAACATTGTGTCTAAAGCAGACTTGGAGATTCTTATCCACGCATTTGTCTCCAGTCGATTGGACTACTGCAATGGCTTGTTCACAGGTCTCTCTAAACAAGCGGTAAAACAGCTGCAGTACATCCAAAATGCTGCAGCTCGAGTCCTGACTAGAACCAGGAAGTACGACCACATTAGTCCGGTCCTCAGGTCTCTACACTGGCTTCCTGTGGCTCAGAGAATAGATTTTAAAGCAGCTTTACTTGTGTACAAGTCTGTCCATGGCCTCGCACCAGGGTACATCCGCGACATGTTGGTGCCATATGAACCAACTCGGGCTCTGAGGAGTACAGGGACTGGACTTCTGTTAGTGCCAAGAGTCGGAACTAGACATGGGGAGGCTGCGTTTCAGATTCATGCAGCTAGAGTCTGGAACCGTCTTCCCGAGAATGTGAGACAGGCGTCTACTCTAGCAGTTTTTAAAACTGAACTGAAAACAGTTCTTTTTAGCTGTGCATACAAGTGAATGATTTTATATTTGTTTTTATCTTTAATCTTTTTAATGCACTATGATTATTTATGATTATTTATGATTGTAATCCCTTGTGTGATTTTAATGTTTTACGGTTTTTAACTACTTGTGTGATTTTATATATCTTGTGCTCTTAATCTGTCTTTTTATGTTTACTTAAATTCTAATGTTTGATGATTTATGCATGATGTTATATGAGTTGTGAGGCGCTTTGCGTTGCCTTGTGTAGGAAAGGCGCTCTACAAATAAACGTTGATTGATTGATTGATTGATATGTACCTTGAGGGGCTTGTCTCCGCAGCTCCCTCTCCTGGACGAAGCGAGAGAACATCTGCGTCTCCATGAAGAGCTCCAGGAAGCGGCGGTTGCTCTTGGAGGGGACGGCCTTTCTGAAAGGGTCTCTCTGGAAGCTGGAGGGGCCCGGAGTGGAGGAAGAGGAGGAAGAGGAGTACCCATCCTCCCTCTCCCCCCTGACGAAGAGAGGGTAATGTCCCACCAGCTCCACCAACAAGCGCACGAAGGCCTCAGACACGACCGTGCTCACGTCGGTGTCTGGGGAGAAAAGAATAAAGACACAAAATCAACCATTAAGAAAAAGAGTGCGGGTTTAATAGAGAGGAGTTCTGTGATGTCAGAGTGGTTGAGGTGGAATCGAGAGTGAGGCGAATAAGGCGATCCAGAAGGACATTTATTCGATTGACTACCGTTTATTTTGTGTCTTGACTTATTCACCCTCATTGTGTGAAAGAGAGGTTCTATACAGCGCTTTCCTTCCTGCTGCTGTCAGACTGTACAATGAGACCTGCTGAGCCCGTAAATGTCATTCATCTGTAACTAAACTAAAATCATGTGCCACACTGCAACTTCGGAATTTCACTGAACAATGTCACTTTACTTTATTTACTTATAACCCTGCCCTTAATGAACAGTATATAACTCATAACTCTGCATGTGATTACATATATGTGTATACGTATACATATATATGTATATATATATATATGTGTGTGTGGAGAACGTTTTGACATTTGTATTGAGATTATTGGGGAAGTGAAAGTATAAAGAGGGACACAGGGGAGGTGGCACGACAAAATAAAACATTAGTATTTACTTTTAATTTCGTTTTTTTGCAGTGGATTTACTTTTTCTTATTTAATGTAAGAATGTTTACTTTATTGGGTTATTTTAGATCAAGATAAAAGGTATTTTGAGTCAATTTCACCTATTTTTTCTTTCCCATAAAATACGTTAGATATTGTGAAGTCAGACCCCATCCCACAGTCTTCATATTTTTAGAAAACACAATGAAAGAATCCTTTCTTTTTCAGAGTGTTTCTATGTGACCAAGGCTAAAAATACATGCATACAAAATTTTTTGTTGCTTGAAAGTTAGGTAGGTTACTAAATTGTTAGTTAACACAGAATATGATGGGAATAGTTGTTGTGTAATGTTCTTTACCTCCTCTTTCGCTGGCGAGCTCTCGTCTCCTTTCGAGGACATTTTCCAGTGCTGACTGAAGTTTGCATGGGAGAATAGAGTCTTCATCATCCAACTACACAAAAACAAACATACAGTACAAAAAAAATGTCTAGTCTCAATCAAATCGGCTGAAACGTTTGACTAAGACAATGATATTTAAAGTAATGCCACATACCTGTCTTAGAAAACGCCGGCCTCCAAGGTCCACCACTAAAACCTACACACACAAAAAGATCATGCAGGTAAGGGTTCATTTACAATTCTGTCATTTTGAATGTATTTAGGATAAGATAGAAGATAACCAGACATGTAAAAAATGTCAATGTTTAAATCCAGGTTAAAGACTGTTCTGTTTGCCTGTGCATACAACTGAAGGATTTTATCTCCATTTGTAATGCACTGCTGTCATTTATTTATTTATTTTTTTAAATTTCTTGTGTAACTTTGAAAGTGTTAATGGTTTTATTCTTTTGTGTGATTTTATTGTTTTTATTGTGTTTTAATTTTTTGTGTGATTTTAATGTTTTAATTGTGATTCTGGTGTTTGTTTTATGTGATGATTTGTGATGTGGACTGTGAAGCGCTTTGTGTTGCCCTGTGCATGAAAGGCGCTCTACGAATAAACTTTGATTGATTGATTGATTGATGTAGCATTGTTCATGTGACATCACATCTCACAAAGAAAACATCTAAAAACCACAGGGGTCATAACTTTGAGCTACTTCTTCATGAGAAAAATCCAGCATAAACTCTTTTAGGAGTTCAATAAAAAAATGAGTCAATACTGTATAATGGGGACATTGCCTTGGATTGTTATAACATCTAACTATAGTCCATTCAGACTGCTCAATGTTGTTTTACAATAGTTGTAGTTGTAGGGACAAAAAACAGAACTTTAAAATTTTATAACTTTTTCTGTGTATATTAATAAACTTTAGTCACGTTTACTTCTAACTCCAACTTTACCAACCCTAATATCTAGCAATTATAAATTGGTTTCACACTTTGCTTTAATTGGCCAATCTTGCGTTTATTGTTCTTCTTCTTGTTTTTAGTTTGTGACAGTTGCTCGGGGCTTATTTCCATGTTATTCACCACTGGGAATTGTCACATGCCATCGATCTACTGCACACAATCTACAACTGACATATAAGAGCCCAATAATCTATTCTATAAACAGGTCTTTTACCTTTTTGTTGATTTTGCAAAATCAAGCCGTGAAAAATATATTCATAATTTAATTGGTGAAGTTATGCAAAGTGCCAGCACAGGACAAATGTCTCAATTCTGTTGGTGCTTTGAAAACCCTGAGGCGGCGATTTAAAGTGCTTTAGGTTTTCCTCCCTGCTTTATCATCCAACAACTCCCACAGCACATTTACCACAGATTGTTAACTTTACTGCATGCAGCTTATGCTGAAGCCCCCTCCAAAGCCGAAAGCATTGCGCAAGTAGCGAATATGAAATATATAAACATGTAAAAGAACTCTCATTTAAACGCATTTCAGTGCTGTGATACCGCTGACCTCCTCCAGGGGCAGTTGTCTGAGCTGAGGCAGTGAGCTGGACAGTAGCCCCACAAAGAAGGGGGTAGGGGTGCAGACGATGTCCAGCATGTTGGAGGGCAGCACTGGGATATAAGTGTGTTGCCAAACAAACGGGTACAGTAGAGCCAGGGCCGCGTGGCAACACTGGGACAGGGTGCTGCAAGAAAATATATTTATAAATTACATTAAGAAAGAAATATGACACAGTATTTTACTGATGACAATTTATTTTAGTTTGTCATATCATGCTTTACAAGAAAGAAAGAAAGAATATCTTCAGTAGAAAATATATGGTGAAACCAGTATCAAGGGTAAATAATGCTAGCGTGTAACTTTCTATACTACCATCAATATTTCTTTTTTCAAATATGTAAATTACCAACTGCAAGCCAGCCATGTGTTGGTAAAGAGTATAAAAACCTTGCTAAAAACAATTTAGGGGCAATTCTTTAGTTTTGAATGTGATGTCACAGTTGTACAATCCATAATTCCATCCCAGATATTAGCAAGGACAAATCAAAAACCACTTCAGGTCTTTTTTTGATGAAGGCACTAAGCTCAAAGTTGAGTACTCGTTGCACGCATTTGCCAAATAAATGTTTGTTAAAATCATTAACAATCAAATGGCTGAACTCTTTGTGAAGCTGAGGCCTTATATTTTTGGCCTCTGATGATTTACTTATTCTCTTGACACCTACTGTAGAGTTATTTTTGAGTATGGAGTTTAAATTAATTCTTATACATCTCTAGAATGTTTGATTTGAGGATATATGCGTAATGCTACATGGCAAAAAAGTACAGTTTACTGTAAAACTTTGAATTTAAAGTAATAAAAAAGAGGTTGATAAAAGGCATGTAGCATTTTGATCACTAAAAGTACTATTCCTTTGATTTGATAAAACAGCTATGGAGAAAAAAAAATTAAATGCCTATTTCACGACAAAAAGGTTACACAAAAAAGCTTGAGTAACAAATGATCCAAATTACCTATGAATTATAATCCATTCATGCCTCAAATTTTGCCCTCTGTCGTATCTGCTTTATCAGAAAGAAAAGTATAAAAGAGAGGACCACCCACTCTCAGTCTAAGCATCGAACTCACAGGGCTCATTCTTACACGTACTGTATACAAAAGATAACAAGTTTTTGAATCAGGTGACGACAGCCTGGGGTCTGGTTTGTTCTCAACCTTTTTTCTTTTACTAAATTCTTTCAAAACAAAATGTATTATTTAATGGAGAAAAAGTAGGTACCTAAAATTAAGGCCTATACTTAACATATAAATATAGTCAAGTTTATTAGTACCTGACTATATCTATAATTGTCTTGTGCACAATGGGGTACTAATGGATGGTACTAATGGACGGGTGGATTTCCTAAAATATAGCCAAAAAACTTTCTGTCAATTGTAAATACACATAAGCGCAATATCTTGGTGTTGTTATTATGGCACTCAACATGTCACATTTCCTGCTTACATACAACATAGCAATACATCTCGATCACTTTAAGTATGTTTTAGTGACACATGTAATCCTTATATATATATATATATGTATATATATAAAAGCACTTTTGGCTGTGACTGTCATTCAAACACAAGAGGGCGTATGTTTACACGCTGTATGTAACATGGCCACCCATTAACTCTCTCTATAACTGTTTCCCACAAGGACTTGAGTATCCATCACTAACGTCACTCCACATTCCATCTCTGCTACAGTTTGTGCCTTTTGACTCCCAGAACTGCACAAACAAACTGTCCCAGTACGAGGGGTCAGCAAACCTCCCTAAAAATAATCTTTGGCTCGCTCACTGAAAATGTGGAGAATGCACAATTGCTTTATGAAAAAAAATCCCTGGCAAATTTCAACGCCACTTTTGCTTATGTTCTATTAAATTTTAAAGCTGGGGTATGTAACCTTGAAGCGAAAACAATGGAACAGAATCCACAAGAACTAGTTCCTGTCACTAAAAACATTTTTGGAGCCAAATTTGGGGACGGCAACAACCAAGCAACCAAAAAGCCAAACCAGGAGATGGCCTGTTCCAACTCACACCACTCGCCAATTTCAGAGACAGAAGACACTAGATTGGTTATTAGTTGGGCGACATAACTGTATTCTTAAAGACTATATCAAAATAAAATAAAACACCAGGACCAGGTAGAGCATTAAAAGATTTGTGAAAAAAGAAATCTGAAATAAATCTTGATGAGAAGTTAATAATATCAAATAAAAAAACAAAGATGTAACTTGTAATTTTGAAATATCAATATTTAATATATTATATTAATATATCAATATTATTAGATCATCCAACATGTTAAACCTGAGTTTGTGTGCTGTGAAGATGACTCGTCTCTCCAGCAGTAAAGAGCTGAAGACTCCCAGGAGCAGCCGCAGACTCAGAGACGAGAGCAGACACTCAAAGTCCACGTGCTCCAGGCGAGAGTCGGGGGGGCGGGACAGCTCCATCACCTGAGCACATGACACGTTAGCATAGGGACACAAGGGCCTCACCCTGCAGCAGGAACCTAGGGTCTATTTTATTATCTGTCATCTATTCAATCCTTCAGGAATCGAGGAGGCTCATGGAAACACTAACACTGAATGTTGGTGAGGATACTTGGGAAAACACACACACAACAGGCATAAACAGTCTAAAAACACATAAAACCTTATTTAAAACCCACCGTCCCTTTTGCTCCCACCAACACCAATATTTCTAGGTCCTTTGTACAGTTGCGTGTGTATGTAAGTATGTATGTTGTGTGTGTGTGGGTGGGGGTGGGGGGTGTCTTTTATTGTATCACTTGTTGGTGAAAACTGGTGTAAAACATGTTTTGTGACCGGCATGCTGGACTGACTCCAGGAAGAATAGATGTACTTGTTACAACTAATGGAGATCAAATAAATACAAATACAAACACTTGCTTTGGAAAAGAGTATCACATTTCAAAAAGTAAATGATATTATACTGATAACTGATTAATGAATGTCAAGTATATTTTCTCAAAAATAATATTAATGTGTAAACTTATAGGAATTATCTTACTGTATACTGTATATAAATACACTGATGAAAGTAAATGTGTGTAAGTAGAGCGTATGAAGTGCTGTAACCTCAGTTCCAGAGCCTGGGAGGAAGGTCCTGATGGTGAGGCTTTTCCCTGGAGCAGGGCACTGAGCTTCCAGGATGGCCCTCATGAAAGGCTGCACTAAAGCTGGAGACAGGGCTCTCCTCCTTTCCACCTCATCCAGCACCTACGCACAGACATCAGCCCGCACTCATGGTCACACACCAAAATGTTCGATCAAAGTAATTATCAATTCTCCGTTCTCCCTCCCTCAGAGCCAGTGGATATGTTTTCTTATAGCCTAATTTCACCAAGCCATCTTTTGTACAGTATAACGATTATAATGAGTCACCACTGTTGCCATGTCTGGCCCCTCTACAGCAGTGAGGTCTCAGAACGTTTGTAGTTAAACTGCATGCATTGATGGTTTGAGGTTCTGGGTTACCACAAAAAAAATACCAACATAAAAATGGATTGGCCCTCATCATGCTTATGCATATTCATTTTGACTCTCTGAATAAAATAGTTTGATGTATGTTATGTACTTCTGATTTATACCATTGAAAGAAAATATACCTCCTTGAAGGCACAAGACCATTCATTACCTTTGAAAACAGGTTGAAGCAGCCAAGATGACTAATAATACAGTAGACTTCAGGAAGACGTTTTCCTTTTCCAGTGGGCTAAAAAACCACAAAATATTACAATTTTAAAAACATATGCATTACGAATTATCTCTTTACATTCAATGTACATATTTAGACATATTTGGGTGGTGCTTTGCCCAAGGACACCCAAGGTTGCATTCATGTGACATTACAACATTCCAAAGAGCTTACCATTTAACACTGTGATGGCAAATAAACTATGGTGATGAAACAGGGAAACAAGAAACAAGAACTGTCACCAAGTTACACATCTTCTTTGTCAACATATATCAGCTTTGGTCTAATTGTTTCACTCAAAAAAGAGTCGAGAAGTGGTGACAGTATTAAAAAAACTCCAAATCTTGATGTGGGCCTGTGGAAACCACATTCAGAATAATATGGCAGATTTATTTTATTGTTTATTTGTTTGGGACAGTACATGTTAATGAACACATCACTCCGGATTGTAGCCATGGGCTAATTTGCATCTGTTGTCCCACACTCACAAACACACACTCATTCACCCTGAACTGTTGCACATGTTTTTAGTGGTAGGGGAAACTGGAGCACCCAGAGGAAACATACGGGGAGAACATACAAACTCCACTCAGAAAGGCCCTGTTCCGACCAGGTTTAGAACCCAGAACCTTCTTGCTGAGAGGCAAGAGTGCCATCCACTCGGCCACCGTGCCGACCATCATTCAACCACTATCAAATATAATCATGATGTTAGTTTTCTAAAACAAATCCGAAATTGCTGGATTTGCACCCTCTCTTCAGCTGAAGAAGAATTCAAGAAATATAATGTAGACTGTATAGCACCGGGGCTGCACCAGTTCATGTGGGCTCGTGCGTCACTGCAGACTATTATGTTCCCTTCATATAAACATTATGATAATAAAAGTCTCTATTAAAGAAAGATTTCTCACACACACAGGGCAGACATTTCCCGTGCACGCACACACACACACAACACACGTAGACACACACACACACACACACACACACACACACACACACACACACACACACACACACACAGACACAAACACAAACACACATCCTCTTGTTTTTCCCACAGGCCTCAGACTGTTTATGCCATGATTATTTACGCAGCCGTTGTCATGGGTTTCAGTCACTTCCTGTCCACAGGCTGTATTTTATCAAAGCGTACTTACGAGTAATCTGCGGCAGTATCCGAACCTCCTGCTCCCGTCCACTCCAGTCAAAACAAAAGAGAACATTTCACTGTCATAGGAAACAGAGGAACATGATATTTAACAAGACCACTGTAATTTACAAAAATATATTACAGCAGGAAGTGTACTAAACTGGATTCATGTTTCTGCTGTCATGTTTCAAAATAAAGATCTAATTTCATTTACCAGTAAGTTCCGAGTTGGAATCTACTAAAATCTGGCTTATAGTCTATTATTGTAGTATATGCAATAGACACAAACTGGAAACCACTCTTAAAAAAATCCAATTTATGTTCATTAGCTACAACGCTGGCTTTAAAAATACGTTAAAAATATGTTTGATATAAAATCAGGCCCTAATGACAACAATATCTGTACATATACATCTGAAAACATATCACTGACAAATATTGCTCTATTTGTTTTCAGCACATATATTTTAGTTTGTTTCTGTTGCCTCTAGCACCCCCCAGAATTGGCTGGGTATGTGGAGATATATCTTCACAAAAAGCTGGCCAACCATCTTCACTCAGAATACTCTTAGGGAAACTCTTCACCAGTCCAAAGGCAAAATACTGCCTTAAGTAAATACCCATATGCCAGTTTGGGATCACAAGCTTTGAAAATGTTTGATAAGGGTAAGACGTAACACAGTGACTGGAAGCATTAAAAAGGCCTAATGAACGAAAACAAAAGGATTCAGGCCATTTATCTTTTTAATTGGGACTGGTCTTTGCAAAACAATCCAATCAGAATGTCAACATGAATTATTAGCTTGAAACCAAAGAATATATCACAAAGGGCATACATCAAAAATAAGTGGATAAACTAAACTCAACACTTAACTTCTTATATATGAACGTGGTGCAATTTATGATAATTTAGGTAAATGCAAGCACCTTGGATAATGGTCCACCGGTTCCCAGTCTGTAGCATCAGGGAAGCAGAAGAGAGGGATACTCCGAAGCTGATTCTCACTTTCTCGTATGACTTTGAAACTTTGCTCCAGCTGTAAAATAAAATAAAACATTAGATTTAAACCTGACAAATCACAAAATAATAAGTACTGAAATTAATCTAGTTCTTTGGTCTCAAAACAATTGGGCTCCATCACATGTTTCTACATTACATCAGGGTTTAGTTTAGTTTAGAACTGTTTGATTCTCTGATCTGTTGTTGGCAAATCGACAACGTTGTAAAGTCCTCCAAGACAACTGCCAATGTGGTGTAGGTTTGTAGAAAATAAATGGAATTGAAATAGATCAAATTTAGGGGGGAAATAAAATACAAATATTCTTGACCGAAAATTGCTCAAAAAACCTGACCTACAATGAATTTTAATTTTTATGATTATTATTGTTTGTTTTAGTGTGATGTCTTTCTTATCTGGACCTCGTGTCTGTAATAAAATTTGATAATAATAAAAAAAAATAAAACATAAAAAAATAAACACCCATAAAATCACACAAATGCACCTCAAACATCATTGTATTAGGTTAACTTAATTTTTATTTCCTTTACATTATTAATTACAATTATCGTTTCTATTAATACTTTTTCACATAAATTGATTGCTGAAAGTTTGGACAAACCTTTGGGGGGAACTGCTGCGTGACCTCCGGCTGATAAAGGCCACTGGACTTGGACTTTTGCAGAGACACGACCACAAAGTACTCGAAGAGCCTGCGCTGGTGCTCCACAGGGGCCCTGCAGGCGGAGCTTTGGCTGGGGCGGCTCAGGATGGACTTGGCCGACACGAGGCGCTGACGATGAGCTGGAACACAAGAGCACTGTGATCCAGACCAAAACTGTTCCACACTCTCAATATGACTCTGTACCTTTGGCTCTGTCTTCAAGCTCGCTCTCAGAGGTACTGTCATCTGTAACTGCAAAGAGACAAAGTCAGGCCTGATTCACTCCGTCACCATGGTTACCCAGGAGGAGGTAAAGTGATCATTAGTGTTTGTCTGTTTGTTTGATCCTCTGTTTGTTTGTCTGTGAGAATCATAATAAAAAAGGTTATGGGAGGATTTGGAATTCATTTTCTAGAAACATGTGCAATGGTCCAGTGAAAAATGTATACTGATTTTGGAGCACAGATTTCCAAACCCCTGTCTGGATGCAGGATTTTTTTTTTTTTTTTTTGAAGGAATGGAAACTATGGTTGTGATCAACAGACAGATCAGTGCAGCGGGTGCAGTGTCGTGGTCACTGTATCGGACCGTTGTGGTAAAGAGGGAGCTGAGTCAACAGGCAAAGCTCTCGATTTACCTGTTGATCTACGTTCCCTCTCCGCCCATGACCTATGGTCAAGAGCTTTGGGTAATGACCGAAAGAACAAGATCGCAGATGCAAGCGCTCAAAATTAGTTTCCCAAGCGGTTAAAAGAGTCCAATATAGCAACCGTATCACTGCTCGCACTGCACCAGTCCATCTATCAAATAACACATGTTCAAGGTATTTCTTTATGAGAAGCAAACTAATCAGAATTATATACAGTGGAAAATACATTCAAAACTCTTCCAGCAAAGGAACTTTTCGTCATTGATTATGTATGTTACTTGCATGTTACATAGATAATATAATTGCGCATTACTTATTTACAATACTTATGCATTTAGTTAAACAAGCATAGATTACCTCGACCAGAACTGCTCTCAGCATAATGATAGATCCTTCTCAAGTGCTTTTTACCAATTCGAGCTTCAAAGATACTGTTGATCCTCAGTACAACCTACAAAAAGCATAAATATGATTAAAAAAAAACATGACAAACATGGAGATTCTTCGTGAAATTATTGAAAATATATGATTAATTCTTTTACCGTATATTTAGCACAAGTCGCAGAATTAAGATATAATATAATGTTCAATCATGGTTTTGATCAAAAGATCTCTTATCTTATCTTTCTATTGTAGAATCAGCATGTTTCACTGATTATCATTAAAGCTGGTGTACCTAATATTCAAACCACAAACCAAACCACAAACAATTTGAATGACATCCATCTAACTAGCAGTTAGACATCCATCTAACTAGCAGTTAGATGGATGTCCGACAACTATAGAACCAGTTCTATCACTAGTTATTTTTATACATGTATTTCAGACCTCTGTTGCATCTTTATATCAGCTTTTTCAAACAGAAAAAGAGAGGACCTCCAACACTCGCCCAACCAGCTCTCAACCCAGAGGTGACTCAGAGGGAGCTTTCTTACAAATTTGCAGATAAGCCAATTTCAATTTTCATCAGTGCGTGATGTGGTCTGATTTGTTTTACAGTTTTACCAAGACTTTTACAAGTATGTATAATTTAAAGTACTTCAGCTTACCTTTTTCCTTAAGGCTTACAACTTAACTGGTGCCAAAACGCCTGTGCAATGCATAGTCATGCCTCTTTGCCCAGGGTTCACACAAAGTCTCAAAAGCCTTTCATGTATAAGAATATGAGCATGTGTGTCTCACCAGTGCGTGTCTGAGTTTTACCCTCTCTTCACAATTTGAATAGTAACTGACTTTCACTTTCAAAAGGCTTGAATTTCAACTCAATCCAATTTATTTATAGAGAAAATTTAGTTAATTTAGTTGAATGCAGACAAATAATTCTAACAAGCACTCACGGTGGGCGTCCTCTGGCAGGTGCGGCTGTTGGAGGTGTCACAGTGGGGTCGTGAGTTTGGCTTTGGGCTCCTGGGGGTCCTGGGCGTGGGGGGGCTGAGCTGAGGATTGGATGTGGCTCCTCTTGTACTTCTGCTGCTCACACACGGCTGAGCACTGCGGAGATGATGAGTCCCCAAACTCTGGCTGGAGCTCTGTCTGAAGAAACCGGCTCTCAGCGTCTATAAAGTACGATTGATGCTGTATTTCCACTTCAGAACGTGTGGTCGGAGATGGGTGTAGTTTTCTTTCTTGTTTTTTAATTTTTTATTTATATATATTTTTATGAAATGCATTAAATTGAAATGTATAAATAATCGCAATCACCTCTATATTGATGCTAATGTCCATACTGCTGATGTACGTGTCAGTAGTAAATATGGTATTAGATGTAGGATTACTCTGCATAACCTCATTATGAATTGAAATCATTCTAGTAAAGCTGTTCCAACAGAAAGAGTAATGTAAAAGTAACATATGAACCAATTATTATTAAAAAAACAATCTTTTGCATATTTGCCCAAAAAGAAAGTAAGCAAAAGATAATGAGTCGCTTTGGTCAGAGAGCTGATAGGCTGAGTGAGGGTGGTCCTCTCAGAAACTTTTCTATCTGAAAAAGTTGATCTGAAGATGTGTCAAGGCCAAAAACTATTTTTAGAGCAAGGAACTAGTTTGGGGGATTTGAATACATAGTTTCATATTTGTGATTTGAAAGTTTGGTACCCCAGCTTTAAGATTTTCAATACACTCCTTATCAGTGCCTATTAGCTAAATTAATTCTTTTTATTAAGAATCTATGATGAGGTCCATTGTTGTTATTTATGGTTTTCCATAAATAATAAACCTAATTATTATACTAATAAACCTGTATAATAATATGTGTAATAAATAATTGTTTATGGGTCAGAAGTATCATATAGATAGTACTGATGAATATGTGAATACTGTTTGCAAACTGATGCAATTTATCAGATGTGTGCCTCAAATAAAAGTAAGAGTTTAGGCCTATTTGTATCACATTAGTTTATGGAGGAGCAGACGGGACCTTGTTGGTGTCAGCTCCAGGAGAAGAGGCCAGTGACTGCTGGGAGCAGGAACTCTCCAGCTCTATGTCTTCATAAGGGTTTTCTTTATCTGCAGAGGCACGAACAGCTTTAGATCCAACCACACATTATACTGTCAGGAGAAACACAACTCTATCTATTTGAAAAGCACAGCCCCAATGTAGACACTGACCTAATATGTCTTCGTAGTGGTGCTCCGGAGGCCGAGCTATAACTGTTGAATTGCACAGAGGACTCACATGTCACATTCAGACAAGGATAATTTCATGCCTGGAATTGGCTTCAAACAGCAACTATCAGACATCATTGATTTGATGAAGTCCTGTAAACATTGGTTTGACTGTTGTAAATGTTTCATATTTAAATCTGCTGTTGACAGATCAAATATTTAGTTGGAGACTACTGTGATGTTGAGCTTCGGTAGAAAATATACGGCCAAACAAGTATCAAGGAGAAAACAATGCTTGCCCTATCCCTATACCACCACCAGTTTGAAGTTTTTTTCTGTTTTTTTTTTTTTTTTTCAAATATGATAATCATCATCCTTTCAACAAAATTTTGAGGAATAAATGGAGGAATAAATGGCAGAAAACTCTTTTGATTGGGATGTCATGATGGTACAATGACATCATACTGATGAAGCTTAAGCACAAATTCAGACTGGAAGACCAAAGAGACGTCATGCTGCCACACTGACTCCTCCCTCTACACTCCTGCACTGAGCTCAACATCAGCCTCAGCTGCTCAGTAACAGACCTGACCCCGTCACTTCATGGCTGCATTTAATCAGAGCCTGATTGGGGGTGAAATTAAGTTTTATATAGTGTTTTTTTTTGGATACTGAAAGATGCTTCACGTGTCATTATTCATCCATACACGGTTACAGCTGTAACCGTGTGTGACAACCAGTATGTGCTATTGGCCCCTCCAATCCCTACTCTCCATTCATGCACGCATCAGACTCATTCTAGGCCATGCGGGAGAAGTGTCCTGCCCTGACACAATAGCAGTTTGAGATCTGACTTTCACATGCAGGTGGCGCATCAAATGGATTTACATGTTTGCACCAGAATTTAAAATATTTTTCACTGCTCTTTTATTGAAAGCCTTCTCAGCTTTTCTTGTGTCTGTTGCTTCCAAAGCCTGAAGCTGAAGGACAAACACAAGTTGCAGAGCATTGTGAAAACTTGCTCTAAAATCACTGCGGAAAACTCTTTGTTGAAAGAACAGGTTCTGAGAAAAGCAAGATGTATTAGGGCTCAGCCCAAACATCCTCTGATCTCTGACTTTGCCATGATGCCTTCAGGGCGTCGTTTTACTGCTTCTGCTCGGAAACCAATCTTTTGTGCCCTCTGCTATAAAACTGTTGAACTCTGGAGGAGTTTGACTTTTGGGAATTGTTGAGTTGTGTATTGTATTGTTTTAAATTTTTAACCTGCTTGTTGTGTGTTTGTGTAGAGTCTGTGTGTTCTGCTCTGAGATTATGCTGCAAATTAATTGCCCTTTGGGATCAAAACAGTTTTCCGAATCTGAATCTGAATGGATCTAATAAACATATTATTTGTTATTAAACAATATAGTGTTCAGTAACAATGCATTTTCCTTGTATTGTTAGACTGTTACCTGGGAGCGGTCTCAGTCTCTTCATCCTGTACTTCTCCGGGACAGCGGGGGGCACAGGTCTTATGGGAGGGCAGGGGCGGCAGGTGCCTCGGGCCTCTGGGCAGGGTCCCGCTGTGGGACGGGTGCTGGAAGGTGCGCCTGGGTTTGGGCACTGGGTTGATAGATTCCGTTGGAGATATCTTCTGCCCAGTAAGGCCCTTTGTCCTCCTCTCCTCCTCCTGAGTGACTTTCGAGGGAGGACTGAAGTAGTTTCCGAGCTCGGCCGTAGTTCTGCCATCATCCATTGCTTCTAATTTCTTAAAAAGACTAAATACGGCTTTCCGTTCTTGGCTGGTGGAATCTTTATTTCTTTTGCGTTAGCATAGGGACACAAGGGCCTCACCCTGCAGCAGGAACCTAGGGTCTATTTTATTATCTGTCATCTATTCAATCCTTCAGGAATCGAGGAGGCTCATGGAAACACTAACACTGAATGTTGGTGAGGATACTTGGGAAAACACACACACAACAGGCATAAACAGTCTAAAAACACATAAAACCTTATTTAAAACCCACCGTCCCTTTTGCTCCCACCAACACCAATATTTCTAGGTCCTTTGTACAGTTGCGTGTGTATGTAAGTATGTATGTTGTGTGTGTGTGGGTGGGGGTGGGGGGTGTCTTTTATTGTATCACTTGTTGGTGAAAACTGGTGTAAAACATGTTTTGTGACCGGCATGCTGGACTGACTCCAGGAAGAATAGATGTACTTGTTACAACTAATGGAGATCAAATAAATACAAATACAAACACTTGCTTTGGAAAAGAGTATCACATTTCAAAAAGTAAATGATATTATACTGATAACTGATTAATGAATGTCAAGTATATTTTCTCAAAAATAATATTAATGTGTAAACTTATAGGAATTATCTTACTGTATACTGTATATAAATACACTGATGAAAGTAAATGTGTGTAAGTAGAGCGTATGAAGTGCTGTAACCTCAGTTCCAGAGCCTGGGAGGAAGGTCCTGATGGTGAGGCTTTTCCCTGGAGCAGGGCACTGAGCTTCCAGGATGGCCCTCATGAAAGGCTGCACTAAAGCTGGAGACAGGGCTCTCCTCCTTTCCACCTCATCCAGCACCTACGCACAGACATCAGCCCGCACTCATGGTCACACACCAAAATGTTCGATCAAAGTAATTATCAATTCTCCGTTCTCCCTCCCTCAGAGCCAGTGGATATGTTTTCTTATAGCCTAATTTCACCAAGCCATCTTTTGTACAGTATAACGATTATAATGAGTCACCACTGTTGCCATGTCTGGCCCCTCTACAGCAGTGAGGTCTCAGAACGTTTGTAGTTAAACTGCATGCATTGATGGTTTGAGGTTCTGGGTTACCACAAAAAAAATACCAACATAAAAATGGATTGGCCCTCATCATGCTTATGCATATTCATTTTGACTCTCTGAATAAAATAGTTTGATGTATGTTATGTACTTCTGATTTATACCATTGAAAGAAAATATACCTCCTTGAAGGCACAAGACCATTCATTACCTTTGAAAACAGGTTGAAGCAGCCAAGATGACTAATAATACAGTAGACTTCAGGAAGACGTTTTCCTTTTCCAGTGGGCTAAAAAACCACAAAATATTACAATTTTAAAAACATATGCATTACGAATTATCTCTTTACATTCAATGTACATATTTAGACATATTTGGGTGGTGCTTTGCCCAAGGACACCCAAGGTTGCATTCATGTGACATTACAACATTCCAAAGAGCTTACCATTTAACACTGTGATGGCAAATAAACTATGGTGATGAAACAGGGAAACAAGAAACAAGAACTGTCACCAAGTTACACATCTTCTTTGTCAACATATATCAGCTTTGGTCTAATTGTTTCACTCAAAAAAGAGTCGAGAAGTGGTGACAGTATTAAAAAAACTCCAAATCTTGATGTGGGCCTGTGGAAACCACATTCAGAATAATATGGCAGATTTATTTTATTGTTTATTTGTTTGGGACAGTACATGTTAATGAACACATCACTCCGGATTGTAGCCATGGGCTAATTTGCATCTGTTGTCCCACACTCACAAACACACACTCATTCACCCTGAACTGTTGCACATGTTTTTAGTGGTAGGGGAAACTGGAGCACCCAGAGGAAACATACGGGGAGAACATACAAACTCCACTCAGAAAGGCCCTGTTCCGACCAGGTTTAGAACCCAGAACCTTCTTGCTGAGAGGCAAGAGTGCCATCCACTCGGCCACCGTGCCGACCATCATTCAACCACTATCAAATATAATCATGATGTTAGTTTTCTAAAACAAATCCGAAATTGCTGGATTTGCACCCTCTCTTCAGCTGAAGAAGAATTCAAGAAATATAATGTAGACTGTATAGCACCGGGGCTGCACCAGTTCATGTGGGCTCGTGCGTCACTGCAGACTATTATGTTCCCTTCATATAAACATTATGATAATAAAAGTCTCTATTAAAGAAAGATTTCTCACACACACAGGGCAGACATTTCCCGTGCACGCACACACACACACACACACACGTAGACACACACACACACACACACATACACACACACACACACACACACAGACACAAACACAAACACACATCCTCTTGTTTTTCCCACAGGCCTCAGACTGTTTATGCCATGATTATTTACGCAGCCGTTGTCATGGGTTTCAGTCACTTCCTGTCCACAGGCTGTATTTTATCAAAGCGTACTTACGAGTAATCTGCGGCAGTATCCGAACCTCCTGCTCCCGTCCACTCCAGTCAAAACAAAAGAGAACATTTCACTGTCATAGGAAACAGAGGAACATGATATTTAACAAGACCACTGTAATTTACAAAAATATATTACAGCAGGAAGTGTACTAAACTGGATTCATGTTTCTGCTGTCATGTTTCAAAATAAAGATCTAATTTCATTTACCAGTAAGTTCCGAGTTGGAATCTACTAAAATCTGGCTTATAGTCTATTATTGTAGTATATGCAATAGACACAAACTGGAAACCACTCTTAAAAAAATCCAATTTATGTTCATTAGCTACAACGCTGGCTTTAAAAATACGTTAAAAATATGTTTGATATAAAATCAGGCCCTAATGACAACAATATCTGTACATATACATCTGAAAACATATCACTGACAAATATTGCTCTATTTGTTTTCAGCACATATATTTTAGTTTGTTTCTGTTGCCTCTAGCACCCCCCAGAATTGGCTGGGTATGTGGAGATATATCTTCACAAAAAGCTGGCCAACCATCTTCACTCAGAATACTCTTAGGGAAACTCTTCACCAGTCCAAAGGCAAAATACTGCCTTAAGTAAATACCCATATGCCAGTTTGGGATCACAAGCTTTGAAAATGTTTGATAAGGGTAAGACGTAACACAGTGACTGGAAGCATTAAAAAGGCCTAATGAACGAAAACAAAAGGATTCAGGCCATTTATCTTTTTAATTGGGACTGGTCTTTGCAAAACAATCCAATCAGAATGTCAACATGAATTATTAGCTTGAAACCAAAGAATATATCACAAAGGGCATACATCAAAAATAAGTGGATAAACTAAACTCAACACTTAACTTCTTATATATGAACGTGGTGCAATTTATGATAATTTAGGTAAATGCAAGCACCTTGGATAATGGTCCACCGGTTCCCAGTCTGTAGCATCAGGGAAGCAGAAGAGAGGGATACTCCGAAGCTGATTCTCACTTTCTCGTATGACTTTGAAACTTTGCTCCAGCTGTAAAATAAAATAAAACATTAGATTTAAACCTGACAAATCACAAAATAATAAGTACTGAAATTAATCTAGTTCTTTGGTCTCAAAACAATTGGGCTCCATCACATGTTTCTACATTACATCAGGGTTTAGTTTAGTTTAGAACTGTTTGATTCTCTGATCTGTTGTTGGCAAATCGACAACGTTGTAAAGTCCTCCAAGACAACTGCCAATGTGGTGTAGGTTTGTAGAAAATAAATGGAATTGAAATAGATCAAATTTAGGGGGGAAATAAAATACAAATATTCTTGACCGAAAATTGCTCAAAAAACCTGACCTACAATGAATTTTAATTTTTATGATTATTATTGTTTGTTTTAGTGTGATGTCTTTCTTATCTGGACCTTGTGTCTGTAATAAAATTTGATAATAATAAAAAAAAATAAAACATAAAAAAATAAACACCCATAAAATCACACAAATGCACCTCAAACATCATTGTATTAGGTTAACTTAATTTTTATTTCCTTTACATTATTAATTACAATTATCGTTTCTATTAATACTTTTTCACATAAATTGATTGCTGAAAGTTTGGACAAACCTTTGGGGGGAACTGCTGCGTGACCTCCGGCTGATAAAGGCCACTGGACTTGGACTTTTGCAGAGACACGACCACAAAGTACTCGAAGAGCCTGCGCTGGTGCTCCACAGGGGCCCTGCAGGCGGAGCTTTGGCTGGGGCGGCTCAGGATGGACTTGGCCGACACGAGGCGCTGACGATGAGCTGGAACACAAGAGCACTGTGATCCAGACCAAAACTGTTCCACACTCTCAATATGACTCTGTACCTTTGGCTCTGTCTTCAAGCTCGCTCTCAGAGGTACTGTCATCTGTAACTGCAAAGAGACAAAGTCAGGCCTGATTCACTCCGTCACCATGGTTACCCAGGAGGAGGTAAAGTGATCATTAGTGTTTGTCTGTTTGTTTGATCCTCTGTTTGTTTGTCTGTGAGAATCATAATAAAAAAGGTTATGGGAGGATTTGGAATTCATTTTCTAGAAACATGTGCAATGGTCCAGTGAAAAATGTATACTGATTTTGGAGCACAGATTTCCAAACCCCTGTCTGGATGCAGGATTTTTTTTTTTTTTTTTTGAAGGAATGGAAACTATGGTTGTGATCAACAGACAGATCAGTGCAGCGGGTGCAGTGTCGTGGTCACTGTATCGGACCGTTGTGGTAAAGAGGGAGCTGAGTCAACAGGCAAAGCTCTCGATTTACCTGTTGATCTACGTTCCCTCTCCGCCCATGACCTATGGTCAAGAGCTTTGGGTAATGACCGAAAGAACAAGATCGCAGATGCAAGCGCTCAAAATTAGTTTCCCAAGCGGTTAAAAGAGTCCAATATAGCAACCGTATCACTGCTCGCACTGCACCAGTCCATCTATCAAATAACACATGTTCAAGGTATTTCTTTATGAGAAGCAAACTAATCAGAATTATATACAGTGGAAAATACATTCAAAACTCTTCCAGCAAAGGAACTTTTCGTCATTGATTATGTATGTTACTTGCATGTTACATAGATAATATAATTGCGCATTACTTATTTACAATACTTATGCATTTAGTTAAACAAGCATAGATTACCTCGACCAGAACTGCTCTCAGCATAATGATAGATCCTTCTCAAGTGCTTTTTACCAATTCGAGCTTCAAAGATACTGTTGATCCTCAGTACAACCTACAAAAAGCATAAATATGATTAAAAAAAACATGACAAACATGGAGATTCTTCGTGAAATTATTGAAAATATATGATTAATTCTTTTACCGTATATTTAGCACAAGTCGCAGAATTAAGATATAATATAATGTTCAATCATGGTTTTGATCAAAAGATCTCTTATCTTATCTTTCTATTGTAGAATCAGCATGTTTCACTGATTATCATTAAAGCTGGTGTACCTAATATTCAAACCACAAACCAAACCACAAACAATTTGAATGACATCCATCTAACTAGCAGTTAGACATCCATCTAACTAGCAGTTAGATGGATGTCCGACAACTATAGAACCAGTTCTATCACTAGTTATTTTGATGCATGTATTTCAGACCTCTGTTGCATCTTTATATCAGCTTTTTCAAACAGAAAAAGAGAGGACCTCCAACACTCGCCCAACCAGCTCTCAACCCAGAGGTGACTCAGAGGGAGCTTTCTTACAAATTTGCAGATAAGCCAATTTCAATTTTCATCAGTGCGTGATGTGGTCTGATTTGTTTTACAGTTTTACCAAGACTTTTACAAGTATGTATAATTTAAAGTACTTCAGCTTACCTTTTTCCTTAAGGCTTACAACTTAACTGGTGCCAAAACGCCTGTGCAATGCATAGTCATGCCTCTTTGCCCAGGGTTCACACAAAGTCTCAAAAGCCTTTCATGTATAAGAATATGAGCATGTGTGTCTCACCAGTGCGTGTCTGAGTTTTACCCTCTCTTCACAATTTGAATAGTAACTGACTTTCACTTTCAAAAGGCTTGAATTTCAACTCAATCCAATTTATTTATAGAGAAAATTTAGTTAATTTAGTTGAATGCAGACAAATAATTCTAACAAGCACTCACGGTGGGCGTCCTCTGGCAGGTGCGGCTGTTGGAGGTGTCACAGTGGGGTCGTGAGTTTGGCTTTGGGCTCCTGGGGGTCCTGGGCGTGGGGGGGCTGAGCTGAGGATTGGATGTGGCTCCTCTTGTACTTTTGCTGCTCACACACGGCTGAGCACTGCGGAGATGATGAGTCCCCAAACTCTGGCTGGAGCTCTGTCTGAAGAAACCGGCTCTCAGCGTCTATAAAGTACGATTGATGCTGTATTTCCACTTCAGAACGTGTGGTCGGAGATGGGTGTAGTTTTCTTTCTTGTTTTTAAATTTTTTATTTATATATATTTTTATGAAATGCATTAAATTGAAATGTATAAATAATCGCAATCACCTCTATATTGATGCTAATGTCCATACTGCTGATGTACGTGTCAGTAGTAAATATGGTATTAGATGTAGGATTACTCTGCATAACCTCATTATGAATTGAAATCATTCTAGTAAAGCTGTTCCAACAGAAAGAGTAATGTAAAAGTAACATATGAACCAATTATTATTAAAAAAACAATCTTTTGCATATTTGCCCAAAAAGAAAGTAAGCAAAAGATAATGAGTCGTTTGGTCAGAGAGCTGATAGGCTGAGTGAGGGTGGTCCTCTCAGAAACTTTTCTATCTGAAAAAGTTGATCTGAAGATGTGTCAAAGGCCAAAAACTATTTTTAGAGCAAGGAACTAGTTTGGGGGATTTGAATACATAGTTTCATATTTGTGATTTGAAAGTTTGGTACCCCAGCTTTAAGATTTTCAATACACTCCTTATCAGTGCCTATTAGCTAAATTAATTCTTTTTATTAAGAATCTATGATGAGGTCCATTGTTGTTATTTATGGTTTTCCATAAATAATAAACCTAATTATTATACTAATAAACCTGTATAATAATATGTGTAATAAATAATTGTTTATGGGTCAGAAGTATCATATAGATAGTACTGATGAATATGTGAATACTGTTTGCAAACTGATGCAATTTATCAGATGTGTGCCTCAAATAAAAGTAAGAGTTTAGGCCTATTTGTATCACATTAGTTTATGGAGGAGCAGACGGGACCTTGTTGGTGTCAGCTCCAGGAGAAGAGGCCAGTGACTGCTGGGAGCAGGAACTCTCCAGCTCTATGTCTTCATAAGGGTTTTCTTTATCTGCAGAGGCACGAACAGCTTTAGATCCAACCACACATTATACTGTCAGGAGAAACACAACTCTATCTATTTGAAAAGCACAGCCCCAATGTAGACACTGACCTAATATGTCTTCGTAGTGGTGCTCCGGAGGCCGAGCCCGAGGGAGCAGCGACCTTGTGTGCTCTGGTTCCAATGACTTCCTGTGTGAACAATGCAACAAATTTAAGAGAAGTGTCACTTTCTCTCCCATTCGGTCTCCCATCACGGTACTAACCTGGTCACAACTGCTTTGCTTCTGAGATCAGATACTACGAATACTTTCAAACAATAATGTTAACTTGACTCATGCTTGTCCTTGATAGGCTTTAATCTTATAAAGTATATGCAGAGGTCCGGTTTTCTATAACTGTTGAATTGCACAGAGGACTCACATGTCACATTCAGACAAGGATAATTTCATGCCTGGAATTGGCTTCAAACAGCAACTATCAGACATCATTGATTTGATGAAGTCCTGTAAACATTGGTTTGACTGTTGTAAATGTTTCATATTTAAATCTGCTGTTGACAGATCAAATATTTAGTTGGAGACTACTGTGATGTTGAGCTTCGGTAGAAAATATACGGCCAAACAAGTATCAAGGAGAAAACAATGCTTGCCCTATCCCTATACCACCACCAGTTTGAAGTTTTTTTCTGTTTTTTTTTTTTTTTTTCAAATATGATAATCATCATCCTTTCAACAAAATTTTGAGGAATAAATGGAGGAATAAATGGCAGAAAACTCTTTTGATTGGGATGTCATGATGGTACAATGACATCATACTGATGAAGCTTAAGCACAAATTCAGACTGGAAGACCAAAGAGACGTCATGCTGCCACACTGACTCCTCCCTCTACACTCCTGCACTGAGCTCAACATCAGCCTCAGCTGCTCAGTAACAGACCTGACCCCGTCACTTCATGGCTGCATTTAATCAGAGCCTGATTGGGGGTGAAATTAAGTTTTATATAGTGTTTTTTTTTGGATACTGAAAGATGCTTCACGTGTCATTATTCATCCATACACGGTTACAGCTGTAACCGTGTGTGACAACCAGTATGTGCTATTGGCCCCTCCAATCCCTACTCTCCATTCATGCACGCATCAGACTCATTCTAGGCCATGCGGGAGAAGTGTCCTGCCCTGACACAATAGCAGTTTGAGATCTGACTTTCACATGCAGGTGGCGCATCAAATGGATTTACATGTTTGCACCAGAATTTAAAATATTTTTCACTGCTCTTTTATTGAAAGCCTTCTCAGCTTTTCTTGTGTCTGTTGCTTCCAAAGCCTGAAGCTGAAGGACAAACACAAGTTGCAGAGCATTGTGAAAACTTGCTCTAAAATCACTGCGGAAAACTCTTTGTTGAAAGAACAGGTTCTGAGAAAAGCAAGATGTATTAGGGCTCAGCCCAAACATCCTCTGATCTCTGACTTTGCCATGATGCCTTCAGGGCGTCGTTTTACTGCTTCTGCTCGGAAACCAATCTTTTGTGCCCTCTGCTATAAAACTGTTGAACTCTGGAGGAGTTTGACTTTTGGGAATTGTTGAGTTGTGTATTGTATTGTTTTAAATTTTTAACCTGCTTGTTGTGTTTTGTGTAGAGTCTGTGTGTTCTGCTCTGAGATTATGCTGCAAATTAATTGCCCTTTGGGATCAAAACAGTTTTCCGAATCTGAATCTGAATGGATCTAATAAACATATTATTTGTTATTAAACAATATAGTGTTCAGTAACAATGCATTTTCCTTGTATTGTTAGACTGTTACCTGGGAGCGGTCTCAGTCTCTTCATCCTGTACTTCTCCGGGACAGCGGGGGGCACAGGTCTTATGGGAGGGCAGGGGCGGCAGGTGCCTCGGGCCTCTGGGCAGGGTCCCGCTGTGGGACGGGTGCTGGAAGGTGCGCCTGGGTTTGGGCACTGGGTTGATAGATTCCGTTGGAGATATCTTCTGCCCAGTAAGGCCCTTTGTCCTCCTCTCCTCCTCCTGAGTGACTTTCGAGGGAGGACTGAAGTAGTTTCCGAGCTCGGCCGTAGTTCTGCCATCATCCATTGCTTCTAATTTCTTAAAAAGACTAAATACGGCTTTCCGTTCTTGGCTGGTGGAATCTTTATTTCTTTTGAGGCTTCCAAATTGTAGTTTCTCCACCATAACAGGAGTATTCTTTGGTATATCTCCACATGTCTCCACTTCATTTTTACTTTTATAACAGATTTTTTTTGCCTTGTCTTCTGGTGGTTCTTTCAGCAGTGTACCATCCGCCTCATGATCCTCTGTTGTGTTTTGGCCGTTCAAATGACTGTGATCTTTTTCCTTATTGCAGCTTTTGGTCAGTGAACTCTTTATCGTAACACTAACGCTTGCAGAGTTTGACCCGGACAAGTCCTTTTTCTCCCAAAGTGATATTTTGTCCTTAATGTTGGGTTTTGAGAGTTTATGAACTGTTATGATGCTATTTTCTTTGCCCAGAGCATCAATAGTTGTTCTTTTGTAAGACATGTTCACGGTTTGTAATTTAAGTCTGTGTTTTTTGAGGAATGGATTATGATTATATGGAACCTCTTTCTATGACCTGCAAAAAAACATACCAATAATCAATTTCAGAAATCTTTTATAAATCAAAAAAAAATTATGTAATATAAGGCTTTTTTTTCTTCACAATTGGATACCAGACATAACATGAGTAGTACCAAGTGGACTGGACAATTTTGCCACTTTTTAGTTTTTTTGGTAAACATTAAGATTAAGATGAAAACATGAGAAATAAAGCAGCTATAGAAAGTAGACTGAAAACTGTTTCAAAAACTAAGGTTGTGTTACTTGAGTGCAGTCTGGTGCATGAATCTGGTCATGAATGATCTTTGTTGACTCCTTCTCAGTCTCAGCCTGTGTGAGTGGAACAAGGTCTTTGGGAAAGAATCATCTTCACTTACTAAATAAACACTAAGACTGGCCCGCAGCCCGTTTCAGCTGTTTTGTTCTATTCAATAAATAAAGCAGAGGAAATGGGACAGCCCTGACCTATGATTTAAAAATACAATAAGAAATAAATACATTTTAATTCAATTCATACCAATTATAATGTACCTTTGTTGCATTGTGTTCTGAACCTGTTTCCAAGAAGAATAAATTTTCTTATCTTTACAGCAAATTAAGATGCTCTTATGAATTATTAAGACCGCTATACTGTACTTTTGCAGCATCGCTTTCATATCTTTTACATTGGGTGGCACCACCAGGTCTAGTCAAAGGTCAGAGCTGTGGAGTGGCGAGATGAGAGTGTGGAATGTATTTCTGGCTTTGACCATCAGCCCTGGACTATATGTGATCACAGACTATTGGGTATGTGGGTTGAAACAGTCCGTCCCACTGGGGGGAGATCCCGGAACACCCAGGACACACTGAAGGGACTATGTCTCTCAGCTGGCCTGGGAACACCTTGGGGTCCCCACAGACGAGCTGGAGGAAGTGTGTATGGATAGGAAAGTCTGGGTGTCTCTGCTTAGACTGCTGCCCCCGCCACCCGGCAACGGATGAAGTGGAAGAAAATGGATGGATGGATGGTTGAAACAGTACTTGTTTCAACCATTTTTTACATATTATAACTGTTACACAATGTAATAACAACATTTAGAATGGGAAGACTTTGATTTAATTTGAGCATATGACTTGACCACATATATGTATGTAAATGACAATGTAAATATGTATGTATACATGTAAATTTCTCCTATGTGAGATAAATAAAGCTTAATAAATAAATCTTATCTTATCTTATCACTTCAACAACAACAAAAAATGTCCAGACTTTTAGTTAATTAAAGAGTATACACAGGTAAGAACTACACCAGAAAACAATGCTGCTTTATTTTAAGGACGAATATCTTTACATAAATTTTCCAACCAACTAAATTCCCTAATAGAACAAGCCTAAAGGTACTGTTATTTACTTAGTTGTTCCCATAGGGACCAAGAAAATGTCACTTAAAACAATCTAAAAGTTATGAGAAATTGCTTGTGAAATAAGACATTTTTGTTTACTTTGTTTTATTTACTTTTAACTGTAACATATCTATTATCTAGAATTATTTATTTTGATTGCTTAAAGGGGTAGCCGTTAAGCAATGTTTGTTCTATATCTTTGGGGGAACAATTTGGAGACCCCTGCCTCGATACAACCACAAAGACATGAAGCAGTTTAAACCACAAACTAATTTGTTCAATCCTGATATGTACATTCCACACAGATTAATTCTATGGATTGTCTTACCTTATCGAGTGATGTTCCTTTTTGCTTTTGAATGATCTATTTTAGAAAATGTGCCAAATTTTCTTCCGGCTCCAGTTGCCTCCTACCGGTCAGCTGCTCTCTTCAAACTCCATCCCAAAATATATCTGTCTCCCTCATTCGCTCATTTCCTCTGCAAAACTTTCTCTCCTTTGACCAAAACAATGAATGAATCTTCGGATCTATGGCCCCCAACTCGCACGTAATCTAATCAAGTATGAGATATAGCGCTTTTCACAGACCAAGGTCACCCAAGTACTTACATACAATGTGCCTTACAAAAAGAGCTAATATATCACAAAAGTAGAACTTTTGTATATTCCCCAACTAGTTTTAAAGTTTGGAGTCAGAACGAGAGAAGAAGAGATGAGGGACCTTTTTAAATAGAGTGTGGTCCGAGACTTCTGCTAGAGTAGTGTGACCCTCCATGGCTGCTCTCGGTACCTGAAGTAGAGGGTTAGGGACATTTCAACAGGAAAGGGGAAGGGAAACCCAGGTGAAGTTGTTAAAGGTTAAAGGGGTGATTAGGGAATACTGGGATGAATATCTCCAGATTTATATGGGTGGATCTCATTCTCAAGAGGGTCCTGCGTTCTCTGTGCACATGACTGAGGTTGGATTCTGGGAAAATTGGACCTCAAAATTGTGTACTGACCATAGACTGTATATAAATGGATCTATATTAATATCGGTTCACACCTTTTGGCTTTGCAGGCTGTAGTCGCGCGTGTTCGGCCAGCTGATGAGATGGAACTGACAGTGGCGTTCCATCTCATCAGGTACCAGCCCATGATGGGGTTCCAGGAAATAAGGCAGAATCAGTGGCAAAACAAGTACTTACTTTAGATTACAATAGTGTAAAATCAACACTATAATTTTGCAGTATTATTTGTAGCAAAGAGAGAACTGTGGCAGAGGGTAGTGACTGAGAAACACTATTCAGAATAGTGTTAAAGGAGGAGTCACCGCAATTGGAAGGAAAGTAGAGCAAGTACTTTACTCTGGACTGGCCCCTGATCTGGCTGTTGTTGGAAAAAGAGAGAGCAGATTATGTCAGTGCGAATGTGAAGAGTCTGTAAAGCATGTCTTGTTGCGATGTGGTCTTTATCAAGAACAGAGGAGATGCCTGTACATAAAGATTACAGAGATGGGCATAACAGCATTTTCCTTAAAAAATCTTCTTTGTCCCTCTATTCATATATAAGTCTCTGCAAGTAATTGGATTTATCATCTCAACCAACCTCCACATTCGGATTTAGTACTGAATGTAACCTGAGAGAGGCAGCAATGCGCCAGGAGGTGCCTAGCCTGCCCAAAACTTAGAAGAAGAAGAATATCTCCTCCTGTCCTGTAGGGGCGTGAGTGAGCCAAAGAAACGCAGGTGATGTGCGCATGCGCCTCTGAAGAAGAGCTCCAGTAAATAACACATCACACAAGACTGCGAGCAGCGGCTGTTTTTGCTTCTGCACACGATGCATACTCACGGTAGGCCCGTGTTCACCACACTCACACTTATTTGTGTGTGTTCTGTCTCTGCACATACTCGAGACGTGACAGAAGTGGCGTGGTGCCGTGTGTGTGTACGTGTGTGATCGTCATGATGCTGATGCGCGAAACCCCACAGCCTTTTAGCGCTTCAGTGTGTGTAGTTATATGTGGAAAATGATATAGCAACCAAAAAGGTTATGTATAATTTTATTTTTATTAATTAACCTGTATTTGTTCATATTTATTAATTTACAACCTGCAAATGTTTTGATGAACCTGGATAAACGATACAGTCACAAGTGCTGGTGCTATAACGGTATTTAAAACATAATTATGATATAAATGATGCCCTCCACATTCTTTTGGGACCACTAAAGTCTCCACCCTTTCAGGTCAGCTATGGTGGTGAGACTCTGGGGCTGGCTGTGTCCAATTTGATATAATTTAATTTTCATAAGTGACTGCTGGAGATACCATCATTCTCTTGATGGCAGTAGCAGCTTAATGGTATTCAAAAAAGTTAATTTTGTCTTGTTGAGTTAAACTGTTTTTGTGGTTTCTTTTGAAAGACAAGTTAGATCTTCCATTACTACTTCTTTCAAAATAACCACACAAGTTTTTACTGCTTGATTTGAGTTCAAAATGATAAGTGTTGACGTGAAACCTTAATGTACTGCTCTATGGAGAGCCGGTTATTAGTTTTTCTGAAGTTTTCTAATCCTAACCCATATTCTACTAGCTGTAAACGTACACACAGGCCGATCTACTGATGTGAAAATGGGCCTCCTGTTCTCATGCAGTTAAAGTGAGTGTTGTAGGCGTCTTGACTATAACTTTAACAAATATTGCCTCAAGAAACCAAAAATAGCCTACAGTGCTATACCTTCCCCCCTCTTTGTTTTTACATTGTTTATCTTGCTATGTACTACAAGTCTGTAGTAAAGCTATTGATATAATATGCACACAGGGACTCCAGTGGAAAAGTACAGTAGCCCCATTGATTGCTATAACTGGGCACAAGCAGCGTTTTACCTAGGTGCAAAACACTTACCTCCTTGTGCAACTTTATGACGTTTGAATGGATAAAATTACAAATTTCCCCTGTTTGTCTTCCCAGTCAGTCACACAAAAACCCATATATCCGGTTAAACAGAAAGTCACATATGATCTTAAACATATTCTGGGTAACATCCTGTTACACAATGATTGGTATAAAGTGGGGTCTTACTGTGTATAGATCAATTCTGACATGTGCAATGAAAATTAGTTATGGTTCTGTCAAAATCCAGGAATTTTGACCATTTAGCGTATAGAAACATTTTAAATCTGTGAGGAGATAGGTCTGTCATCAACCTAAGACTTCTTGGGTCTAATCATTCTGAACATGATTAGTCCCAAACTGTTTTAACAAAACTTAAAGATGGAGTACCTTACTTTTTGTTTCATAAATACATTTCCAACACAAAGAGCTTAATTTAAAAACTGATTGAATTTGATCTTGCTTTATTATTAAAGTTAATACCAAAATATTCATCCGTTTTCTTCTTCTCAATTTTTCAGTTTTATAAAAATTATTCATTCATTATCAATCTTTTTATTTGTCCATTTCTGGGTCGGGGGGGTGGCAAATGGCAATGAGAGCCAGTGCTCATAGCACCAGTCCCTTGCTGATCCTCTGCAGGTGGTGGGTCCACAGGAAGATGGCTTCTGATCCGTCAGCGATGACATAGCCTTGGTCTTTCTGCGGGGGCTTCAGGCAATTTGTCTTGTCTTGCCCAAGGACACAACGGCAGTAGACATTAGTAGGAGCAGATGGAGTAGGTCTTATGGGGGGTATCGAACCCACGACCTTCAGGCTCAAAATCCAATGCTCTACCAACTACCAACTAAAACAAATTATTTCGATTTTTGACCAAATATTCGACTAAAGATTTACAATAGCCTTCATACACAACAGATCAATAAAAAAGATGAATCACCAAACTAATCAATGACAAAACAGTTGTTAGCTGCTGCTTCATCACTAATATCTAACTTGATCATTATTATGTGTCTTTTTTGCAGCTTTGACGTTGCTGTAAAGATGTGGGCCTAGCGTTTACAGAACTGTCCTGTCCCGTGCACAGAAACCGTCCCGTTTGGCCCCTGTGATGCCTCCCTCATGCTGTGGGCCCCAGTCCCAGTACACACACCACCACCTCGCCACTTTCCTTCTCACCTTTTTCAGGTACTTTAGCTTCTAAAATTCAACTGCAAAGGCTGCTTTTATAGCCTGATAAGGGGTCGACCAATGATTGGCACCATTCAATATTGCCGGGGTTTTTTTCCCAATTGTTTTTTTTTTTTTTCTTCTATTCAAATTTATTAAACAAAAAATAGTTTAGCCTATTAGTCAAAAACAGTGATATAGTTATATGAAATTACACGAATAATTTCACTTTTACTCCAAATGAGTATTGGTTGTCGGCCTCCTTGACGACTAATTATTGGCATCGATAGTGGCCTTGAAATAATGCTATTGGTCGACCCCTTGTGTCATGTGGAAGTGTACACAGGAGAGCATGTTTTTGAGTTTGTCATTTGGGTCAAAGGTCCAGACATACACTCTGTACGTGTCAGTCAAGCATCGGTTAATAGTTAATACTTCAGTATTTGCCAAGAGACTCTGTCGAGAAATGAGGACAAGGCAGCGGCAATTGCACCTGTACCATGGTTAATTTTGGAGTCCCTTCAGCTCAAAGAAAATGAGCCAGGGCTTTTTATATGATTTTGTAAGAACAGTGGAAAATTATTATGGTCAAAGATGGCTTGCACAGGACAGCTCCTTAGTGAGAAGTTGAAAATGTCCAAAGTGTCCAAACATAAGTAAATAAGAACTTGAATGTAATTGTATTTCTCCTACTTATGTGTATTTTAACAGTAAGATTAGATTTGCCATTGGAAAATCAACTTTGGTCTTATTTAACTACGTTTTAAGCCCAGTAGAATCTCTTTCTAGTGTGAATGAAAAATGGCAAAAAAATCAATACTGATTCAGTTTCCTTGAAATATGAATTTGCCATGTGTACTTTGAACATAATCTTACCACAAATACGGAAATTACAACAAATGAAATCATTTCCTTAAAACGATGCAGCCTGAACAAGATTACTTTAAGAAGACGAGTAGGATCTTTCCTAAAGTTTTGATTGGAACACAGAGCACATGGTTAATACAGAACAACATGAGCACTGTAGCCGCACCGCTTTTCTGACTTTCTTGGCCGTGTGGTTGGTGCTGTTGCAGTTATGTGCTGCTCCACTCATCCAGGAAGACCTTCAGCAACGTGAAAGTCAGCATCTCGTCTCAGTGGACTCCTACGCTTCAAAATGGCAGCGCTTCTGCCTTCTCTCCTGCACAGGTACTGTCTGTACAGAGCAGTGGTTCTCAACTGGTGGGACATGGGATCGTTTTGAGCGCGTCACTAGCCTTTCCTGGGTAACACCCCATTTTTCTTAAAAAAATCACCTTTTGATTTAAGAACAATTCTAAGGAATGTGTTTGCCATTAAATTAAAAAGACACAATCTACATCCACTGAAAATAACCTAAATTACCTGAAATAAAGAACGTCTTGAAAATTCTTACTCAACTCAGAGCAAAACAAAATTAGATGCATTTCCGACACTGCAAAGTCATCCACATTTTCCCCTTGATTTAAGAAAGATTATTTGAATATAAAATAATTATTGTATTATTCAGTGCTTTTAAATCAAATTGATCGCATTCATTGCAAACAGAACACTTATTGCAAATAAAATATAAACTATACATGTATGTACATGGTTTGAAAAGACACAACAATTGTGAAAATGTTCAGTATTTCACTAATTTCAGTCTATTTGAGTTTCTGCCTGACGTTATTTGTTGATGGTGGGTCCCGACACTGTTTGCAGCCTTAGATGAACCTTGAAATCCTTGTTATTCTATTTTTTGTGTTTTATTGTATTGATTGTATTGATTTATTTCTTAGACCTGGGAGGACAACCACCTGTTTGCGGATGAGCAGCAAGCCACTCTGTTTCTTGGAGCTTTGGACTCCATCTTTCTCTTTTCCTACGCTGTGGTGAGAAGAAAACATATTTCCTGCAAACAATCAAATGTATCAAACCAAGTGTAATGACCCTCTGTTATGTTTTTCGCTCGCAGGGCCTGTACCTCAGCGGTGTGATTGGGGACAGATTGAATCTGCGTTACGTGTTGTGCGTCGGCCTCTGTGGCTCAGCTGTGGTGGTGAGTAGTTTAGTCTAGTATATTAATTTAGACAAACTGGGGACACATAAAGAAACATTATGTAATATTTTAATTGTAAACTACATCTTTTATACCATGGTCGGTGAGGATTCTAATGCAAACTACTGTTGATTTAATACTGTTTAAACCTCATGTTAAATGACATGTTCCGTATCACTCTACCAAGTTAAGTACCTATCACCATTGTAACGCACAGCCAGAGCACAAACCGTTAAAAAATAACCGCTTTATAACGTTTATAAAGGTCGCTAAATGAAGTTGCAAAAAATGTTAAATATTTTTTTCATTTTTGTAAAAAGCCATATAAAGTAGTCTCTTTCCTCAGAAATGTCTTTTAGTTTTTAGATGTATAAGTTATGAGTTTGTTAATTTAAGCGGATCAACACAAACTCACAAACTTGCTAATGCTAATATGCAAAAATCTTCTGGATTTCATGGTATGGATTTCTGAAATGTATTGAATTCATGTATTGGTTAAGCTGCAATATACTACTTTATGATTCATAATGAGTACATGTTTGTCCCATTAGTAATATGTTGTGAGTTAAAGTGATTGTCTGGAGTTTGTCAGAAAGAGAGAGAGAGGTACTTGATTTGGAAAAAAACGACGCAAGCTCCTCCCCCTTCCTTTCTGATTGGTCTACTACACCTACATTTCCCTAACACTTTTAAATGTTAATCAGTGAACACATTATACATATGCATTATTAATACACATGCACGGAGGTTTTCAGAATTATTTGTTAACGTTTTCATGAAAAAAATAATGTTTTCATGAAAAAAAAAGCGATCGCGGCAAACCCGGAAGAAGCTATTATCATTGATTGCACATTATAGGACACATCTGCAGAGGATCTGATTATGGATATAGGTTCAGTGTATAAATGGGTAACTCAGCGCGGATGTTCAGAATTCTTTGTTCAGTTTTCATGTAGTTCCAGAGCCTAATAGAGGCTTGTTTCGGAGGCTCCGCAAAAACAAACAACTGAGCATGCGCGCAGCTGCGGGCATCAGCGCCGATGATTGACAGCCCTTGGCATGACTCGATTGGTTAACCTCGACGGCACCGTGGATTCTGAGCTATAGCTAAGAGAAGGGAAGGCGGGACTTGCCCGTAATATTAGAATGAATAAATTGACTTATTTTAGATCAACATTTAAGGCCGGGAGGTCAATTTAACACATTTCCTCAAATTTGTAATTCATGAGTTAGACTATCACTTTAATCAGACCTCCTCATAATGTCGTCATCTTATTTTAAAACATGGGTTATGGTTTAAGAAAGAGCCCTGTGAGTCACTACTTGATGCTTCGACCTGAGTGTCAGTGGGCCTCTCTTTTTTTCAAATTTCTGTCTGAAGAAGATGATCTAAAGATGTGAGTGAGGATCTTGTTAGATGGATGTTATTACATAGGTCCTTGAAAGTAGTAGCAGTTTATTTCAGCAATTTTACAGCGTATTTTTATCGTTACATATATTTAAATTAAAAAACTCAAAAGGAGAAGGCCGAAGCAAAATTTGTGTGTGCCTTCCCCATCATCTATACTACATTCAAGCGACTGTAAAGAGATTCAGAAAGTTACGTACATCAGCTTTAATCATTTCATGTTTCATGTCTGCTTTAGCATTCTTTAAGGTATGCTTCAATTATCTGCACATGAGTCACACATTCTTCTATTATAATAGTTCAAGCCAACCTCGTCCAACCCTCTCTGGTGGACTCCACTCTGACCCTTGCACCGCTATAATGAACATGTCATTGATTTTTTTGATAAGGGTGAAAGTAAACCGTGCAACCTGATCCAATTATGTGTCGTTGTTTTTTCTTTCTCTGTCAGGAGTTTGTGTTCGGCACGGTGACCGAATGGTTGAAGATTTACAACGTGTACCTGTACTGCGGCCTGTGGGTGCTCAACGGGCTGCTGCAGTCCGCCGTGTGGCCCTGCGTGGTGGCCGTCATGGGAAACTGGTTTGGCAAGAGCGGGTGTGTGGAACTCTGAACGCCGCTGCTGGAAATCACATCTTCATATTAACTATGGTCTTATTATTATTTCACAAAGGTGTCTAGAAAGTGGTGACATTATTTAAAAACAAATGCATGATGCGGTCAGTGGAAAGGACTTTGCAGACTAAAGAAGAATAACATGGCGGATTTGCAAATTTAATCTCCGTGAAATCAAATCAGATTTAGGGATGCAAAATACATAAAAATAAGAATTGTAGAGTTTGCAACAAGAAAATCTGAAAGACAGGTTTAGAAATGCTAAGGTCACTGCAAAATGTCCAAAAAGCACCTTGAATTAAATGGGGTTTTTTGTGTGTGCAATTTTAACATTTTATTTGCATATAAAACAGTGCAGTCCATCCTATACAAACCTGTGGAAAACATTTTAATTGCTTTTGATTCACAGACCTGCCATGGTAATATCATTATTTTTAACCATGAAATGGTTAATGAAATACAACTGTGTAATAAACCCACCATATTGTCTGAAAGATTAAGAAATTCTTTGTTAAGAGATCTTTTATTCATCCCACAGTGGGGAAATTCCAGTGTTGCATCACGAGTTACAGAACAGGAGAATGAGGAGCACACAGCACAGTAGAAAACTTCTAAACACCTCTTCATGATACATTGATTCAACAAAAGGGGATGTTTACTAATAAGAGGATGTAGAACTTTTTAACTTAGCTAAAACAACGCCTCTGTTCAAACAAAAGTCTAATCCAACATCCAAGTCTATCTTTTTACTGTTTCAGCGTCTCCATGTTAACAGCACATTAGCCCGTTCCCATTATTTACCAGAAAAGATTTGTCAGCGGCCCTCTGTGGAATATGTTGTGTATACCTTATGATGTGTGTTTGATCAGGGAAAATGAACATGTTCTTCTGTTGCAGGCGTGGCTTCATCTTTGGTCTTTGGAGTGCGTGCGCCTCTGTCGGGAACATCCTGGGGGCATTCCTGGCCTCGAGTGTTTTGAAATACGGCTACGAGGTAAAATAACTTAGAATAATAATCATAATTTCTCACATTTTGTGGTTTTACTTTGTGATTTAAATCCCAAAGTTTAAAGTGTGAAACATTCGCAGTGAAATAGATACAAAGGTAGGCAGGAATCCAGCAAAGGGCGCTACACTTCTACATTTGTAAATCATGGCATAACACAAATTTCTTGATATTTTTTCTGCAGTTTACTCATTTAAGGGATTGGCATATCCGACTGGACGCTTTCACCTTCATGGTTCATATTTTACTTTTATTATTAAGTTATTTTTCTTCATCAGTAACACTCAAATGTGCCACTGCGATAATAACTCCCTACAGGGATAATGAAACAAATGTTCATTTGGAGTTTGCCGGTGAGATGGACTTGTGTTTTACTCTTAAATACTGAAGATATGTATATACTGAACGTGTCCTAACCTCCCATTGATTTGGCTGTTTGACTTTTGACCAGGGATGGAATGTAACAAAGTGCAAATATAAACTTTTTAAGCCTCCGTTCTTTACTTGAGTTACCTAACTTTTTTCCTCAACACATTTTTTGACCAAATAAGACCACGACTTACCTTCATCTTTGAAAATGATGTTATCATTTGCAAACTGAGGGTTGGGAGCTGTTGGAGTCGTACTGTCCACTCAACCACTGTTTTTTCTGTAATGTAGGGTAGTCAGTAACTTTTTTTAGTGTAAATAACGTACATTATAACAACAAAACCACAGAGATATCAAAACCCAAAAAGATAATAACAATGTGCTCAAATATCTTCATAATGTAAAAACAATGTCTAGATGCTATAAATGAGATATAAGGAAATCCACAAATAAAAAAACATATTTTGTCTCCCATGTTATATGATCTTTTAAGTTTTGTAAATGAGATTAAGAGATCCTTCATTCGTCCCACAGTAGGGAATTTTCAGTGTTGCATCACAAGTTACAGAACAGTAGGAATGAAGAGCACACGGCACGAGATAAATGTTAAAACTTCAGCAATTTAGAACCTTGGAGCCAGAAAGAGCCCCACGAGAAAATGTAGCTATAAGAGATAAGATAGACTTTATTGATCTCACGCAGGAGAAATAATCGGTTCAATATTTTTTGCTGAATAAGATCCTTTATCCATAATTGTATTTGTATTGTATATTGTGTTATTTTTATTTTATTGTTATTTTTAATTTGATAATTATGGAATCCGTCTTATATCTGACTTTTGCTTTTTACTCAAGTCTTTTTAAAGGGTTCTTGCATAATTAATTCTTTTTAGTTTTTTTCCATTTTCTCAAGTGACAAAGTTTAGTACCTGTCAGCCACTTTTGAAAACTGAGTGGTTGGAGTGTGTAGTGGTCTGAATGTGTTGTGTGTTGTGTGTGTGTGTGTGTGTGTGTGTGTGTGTGTGTGTGTGTGTGTGTGCTCTCTCCAGTATGCCTTCCTGGTCACCTCAGTGGTGCAGTTTGCAGGCGGCATCGTGGTCTTCTTTGGCCTCCTCACATCGCCAAAGGAAATTGGTATGTACTTTAGAGAGGAAAGATATCTCGCAAAGATTGTAAACAACTGATTTATTTTTACAGCAAATGTATTATTGAAACTTAAAATATTGTACAAAAGTTGTTTTATTTTGGTAATTCAACTTTTTAAACCATTTTGAGTTGATTTAGATTACAGTTTACACTCCATTTTATCCAAAAATATTCTAACTTTGTTTTATTTGGGGTTTTTACAACCTGGGAGCCCATTATCAACATTATAACAAACAAAGGCTTGATATATGAGCCTGAGTCCTGCATTTATAGACCACCCGAGGGAGAGGATCCCTCTCTCAATGTGGACCTCCCTGAGGTTTCTCACTTTTCCCACTGGGTTTAGTTATTCGTTGTCAAATCAAGACAAAGGGAAATGTAATCGAGGCTTTTGTAATTGATTATCATTTCAGTGCTACTTAAAGCCTCTAGAATATAGTGATAAGGAAAATGATTTTTTTAAATATACAAGGAATGTAGCTCTAAAATGGAATCCTTCTATTGCGAGCACACTTAAAGGCAATTAAGTTCAGGCAATTAATGTTATAATGTTCTTTTGATTTTTTTGTTGTTGTTGAAAGACCATCACAAAGTGTGGAATGAAAGAAAATTATGCATAATTATGTTTTGTTTATAAAAATGTGGTAGGACGTGAACCATTACATAACAATTCCTTTGAAAATATCCGAACAACTGCTGAATGCTCACTGCCTTATTGATCAAATGGAATCCACCTGTGTGAGATCTGCTCTCACTATAATTACAGCTGTTCTGTGACAACCTTAGAGTTCAATCTTTTTCGCAAGTCACTGTATCTAGTCACATAAGATCACGATTGAGTGTGTTTACAACAAGCCAGTTAAAACGGAGTCCTTCACCTCCTCCAATTTAATGCAATTCATAAAGATGTTTGTAAACCCTTGCGCGCCAATTGAGGAGTGAAAAAACAGTCCATGCCAAAGTGAAGGCATGCACCAAATTCTAATGCACTTGAGCTAGCATTTATAGACATCAGACTGGAATGAGACATTGGGAGTGATGCAATTAAGCGCACAGGGAAAAGCCAAGACTATATTACAAATATATGTATTTGGATGGATGTAGGCAAATCACTGTTGTTTGGGATCCACACACAGTCTCACTGCACACGTTTATTTTGTTACGCAAAACAAAAACATTCTTAACTCATTGACCGCCATTGACGTGTTAACACGTCAATTGCATGTCCCGCTATTTTTACGTTCCCAGATGTCTATTGTATCTAATATATATGGGGATGGCTTGAGACCATATTTTATCTAGCCAGCAGGTGGCAGCTTTTCTCTCTGAATGGTTTGAAAACAGCCAGATGCACATGTTGTGCCTCTTTTTTTCTCAGCTTTCTGGTGATTTCAGTAAAACTTCCCTCTACTCAACTGGGGATTACAGGGGAACGAAACAAGCTAGAAACAAAATTATTTTTGCTGATGAAAGTAGACAGTCCGTTCTTTCAGAATCTGGTTGGATTGGATTTCAGATAGTCATAGTACACAATATTCTGTGGGTCTTGAAAAATCAGTAAAAATCATCAGAAACGGCTGGCAATATGGGAGTACCTGTTCTGAAATAGGCTGGCAGTCAATGAGTTAACAGGGATCATGGTGTGTGTAAGTGAGTTTTAAGTAATAAGGGAAAGCTACGTGGTGCCTTTTGAAAGCATCCAAAGGTCTGGAGCCTTGAGAGGCTTCTCTGTGGGGCGCACAGAGACGAGACCAAAACTGGGCAGACCTGTTTGATAATCCCACTGAATCGAGTGGGGTTTTTAAACGTACTCTGTTGTCTGTATACTTATGCTTTGTAAATGCACTGACTGTGTTTCAGGTCTGAGTGTGGAGTCAGAGACAGGGCTGGGCCCCGTGGAGACTGACTCTGACAGCCACCAGCCCCTGATGAGCGACGAGGAGGACGAGGTGGAGGTGGAGGTGTACGCCCAGCCTGAGCACACGGTCCAGCAGCCTGACGAAGCCCCGCCGCAGGAGCCTCGACCAATAAGCTTCTGCCAGGCCTTCTGTCTCCCAGGGGTGCTGCCTGTAAGCTCATTCATGATCTTGTACTTTTCATTATTTAAAGTCCACTCAATGGCCATCAGTGTGTGCTGTGAAAGTTTCAGATGAGTAAAAATATCTTTAAAGGACACATAAAGCTAGGGTTCAACCGATTTATCAGTTTTTGATAACCGACTAATCAATCAATCTTTATTTGTGAAGCACCTTTGCTACACAATGCAACACATGCTTCACAGTCCACATCACACGGGGCACAAATAATCACATGAGGCAAACACCAGAATCACCATTTAAACACAATTAAAAATCACATTAATCAACATTAAAATTACATAAGAGATTGAAAAATAAATTACCATAGTGCATTAACCTGGATTTGAACATTGTCAGAGTTTTCAGGGAGATTGTTCCAGATTTTAGCTGCATGAAGCTGAAATGCAGCCTCCCCATGTTTAGTTTTGACTGTGGGCACCAGCGGGAGTCCAGTCCCTGTGCTCCTCAGAGTCTGGGTTTGTTGATATGGGACTAACAAAGGAGAAAAGATGTAAAAACATCAGCATGATGCAGTCGCTGTGGTGAAATGGGAGCTGAGCCGAAACGCATAATTCTCAATTTACCGGTCAATCTTCGTTCCCTCCCTCACCTATGGTCATGAGTTTTGGGTAATGACAGAAAGAACAAGATCGTGGATACAAGCGGTCGACGTGAGCTTCCTCCGCAGAGTCGCTGGGCACTCCCTTAGAGATAGGGTGAGGAGCTCGGTCTGAGTGCTCCAATCTCAATCATCATAAGCAGATTTCAAAGTAAAAGTATTACGGCTCCAGTGATCAATCCTGTTCCCTATTGCTTCTCCAATACACGCTCAATGTGTGTTGGATTCGCATTTTGGCTCGAATGAAAGAAACAGTCACAGAATGTGCAGCTATACTAATGCACAATACATACGTTTTACTTTTAGATCGATCGTCTTTGTCACTGGTTTTAGATTTGTGGTTAAAGATGGATCTTTAACTTAAGATTTTGAACATTACTGACATGAACATTACTTTTATTGTCTTGCAGTATTCCTTGGCTTATGCCTGTTTGAAGCTCGTCAACTACTCCTTCTTCTTTTGGCTCCCGTTTTACTTGAGTAACAACTTCGGCTGGAAAGAAGCCGAGGCTGACCGTCTGTCTGTGTGGTACGACGTGGGAGGAATCATCGGTAAGTGCAAAGTCGGAAGCCTTTATTTTTGTACATTGTTGAGTTTAAAATCATCAAAATAGAAAAATAGATTAAGGGATGTAACAGGAATAAAGTTAAAACTTCAGTTACTTTTAAAATGCAAAACATAACTTTTTTTGTTCTTCCCATTTGTCAATTGCCGATGTTTAAGGCTTAGAAAGTTCTTCTAATTAGACAAAAGTGTAAAGAAGCTACGGCTAGTTTGTTACCTGACATGTTTCAATGGTAGACTTCCACCTTCCTCAAAGGTCTCTTAATTAAAAATACAATGAACATAACCATGTTTATGATGTTCAAGCTGATTATCCAATCAGAGAGCGGAATGAGTCTCTCATTTGACAGGGGTCAGCTTGTTTGGGGAAATTTAGCTGGTCTTGGTAAGTGCTTAGGAGCTACATGTATCACAGGCAGAAACATTTGGATTGTAATGACTTCATTAGACCACTAAGAGTGCATATTACATACTGTCTCTTTACACCCAATATTACAATCTATCTGAATAAATAACTGTAACACACTCTCTGACTTCAGGTGGGACAATCCAGGGTCTGATATCTGATCTGATGGGGAAGCGGTCACCAGTGCTGGCCTTGAGTCTGCTGTTCGCAATGGGAGCACTCGTGGGATACAGCCGTAAGTAAATGTTGACACAAAGGGCGGGATGATATTGACACAAACTAATGCTTTTGTTTGATCATGTTTAAATACATTCAGACAATTATAAAGTAATCAATGGATCCAATGTTGGATTCATGAAAAACAGACCTGGATATGTTTACACGCACATAATCATTAACTCGCTGGATGCCTGGAGAGCAGAAGTTAGCTCTGCGTCGCTGTTTGTTGAAGGTTTTTCTCAGTTATATATTAAGGTACATATATCCCCGAGAGGGAACGCCACCCTGTACCAGAGATGTGCACGAGCGCAGTTCGTGCTCTGTTTACAAGTCCTGCCTGCATTGCTCACACAAGCTCACTTTCCAGTAATATTTGACTGTGGCTTGTTAAGACTGTTGTTTTATATTGGACGGTACCTCTAACTTTTCAAATCCTCTTTTCCAGACTCTCCCAATGACCAGCTCATAAATGCAGTGTTACTGGCCATTACCGGCTTCTTCACCGGAGGTCCTTCAAACATGATCAGCTCTGCCATCTCTGCTGACCTGGGCCGGCAGGACGCTCTGCGGGGCAGTCAGGAGGCTCTGGCCACAGTCACGGGTATCGTGGACGGGACGGGGAGCATCGGAGCCGCTGTGGGACAGGTGGGTGCACTCACAGTTTTATATGGGATTTATACCCATATGATAATTCCCTTCTAGTTATTATGTTGAAATACTTTTACATGCATTTGTCACAAGAAGATTTTCTCAAACTGAAAGAATCAATGAGTATCTCAATGAATACAAAGCACTTGTGCGGCACGTGTTTCATTATTTAAGTTTGTCTCCATGCCACTAGATTAGAGGAATAGGCTTTCTCAAGAGTAGAATCGTTGTGATTTGTGAATGTTACTGTGTCCATAAGAAAATGTATAACTTATATGGTTTTCCCCCACAGTATTTGGTGTCACTGATCGAAAGCAACTTTGGCTGGATGTGTGTATTCTACTTTTTTATTCTTATGGTGAGTATCTCTCATGTCTGTACATATTGGAAATGTATGTTGCTTTTTAACTTAGTTAAAGTTAAATATAGCTTTGTAATAATATAGAGCTGTGTCACTACTAAAATGAATAGGGTCCACATATATTACCATATGATTATACAAATGCTTGAACAAATGTATCATTTGTTTTTGTACAAGAAACAGAAATGACTGTTGTAGGAACTACACTACAAAAATATCTGTCTTTCTAATAATAAACATGTCAAAACCAACTTCCGGCTTTCATAATCAGTCATCTAAAGTGCACCCAGAGACTATAGCAAGATCATCATCCATGTGAAGAATTAAAAAAGGACAATGTTATAAAGGAAAGTGCAGCGTGTGCAACAGCCCACACTTATAACTTGCACAGTGGTGCAGTTGTTAGCCCTTGTACTGTTTTAACAAATAATATACTGTATGTAAACTCTGAGTGAGAACTTTAAGTATGACTGGTTAATTACATATTGAATATACAATGAGCATGTTCATAGGCCCTCCATTTCCTTTGTAATGCCTGCAGATCATTGTAGCTAAAGCCTAAAGCCCTGTTGTTGCGTGTGTTTCTCCTGCAGACAGGGGGCAGCATCATGTTCATTTCTCCCCTGATCTTCAGAGAGGTGAGGGCCATGTGGAGGGAGAGGAGAGCCTCCCAGCGACAACTGTGAAAACGACACAATATGTTTGTTTACTGTACCTTTGCTAGAGGATCATGTGTATAGACCAGCGCACATGCTAACACAAGTCTTATCAAACTGACATTTTTAGACACGGACGAAGTGCCTACATGGAACTATTGTCAACCTAACGATGGCTTTGGCGAGCATATTCTACTCTGCGACGGTTGTAAAGAGGACGGGCCATGTTTTCACTTGAAACATATCTGTTGCTCTTTTAGAGTGTTTGGGGACTGCATTTTAGGCTTTGTAAATATGTGCAGTACTTTTATTCTAAACCTTGCACTATCAGAGTTAATGTAAAGCTTCAGGGGTTTTTTATGTGACCGTGCGGAATGCTGACAAAATGGAAAACACGGATTTTGGATTTTGTCACACTTGTGTATCTTATTCCTATTTCTTAACCTTTTAAGTAGTTTTTATTTTTGTATTGTTTTAAATCAGGGCATTTTAAGCTGCGATGCATTTTATTGTGAAAAATCATCTTTTTGTTTTGTAAATCAACAATATTCTGTTTACCAAATTATTGATGTTTACTTTTTTTTTTAATGCAGATTACTACAGTTTTTATGGGTTTTTTGTTTCTTTTTAAATTAAATGCATGATTGTTTTCATGGCCTTATTATGTTATTTATGAAGCGTTTACTTTTTGGATTAAGGATTACTTGAGTTGTGCCATGGGAAAGACGATGACTTATGCATCCATAGCTTTTCTGATAGATGAACCACTTTTTGCCTTCATGTTGTTTTTTTTCTGGTCTTTCGTCAGGGCGGGTTCCTCACCGTTCTATTTGCTAAACCAATGTAACCGAATGTACATGATTTAAAGGGAATGTGCAACAAAATCTTTATTTTTCATTTTTGATTTGGAATCCATTTATTTATGCAAACTGTAATGTTTTTCAATATTTGATGTGACAGCACTGTTTTTTATTAAACGTGATGCACATTCACATACTTTACTCACTTGTCATGATGTGTCCATCACAAGGAAATTAAACACAAAGCAGCACCAGGTTTGGTCAAGTAAAGATTACAGCCGCGGTCCCTGAGTTTATCGTGTCTTGCATAATACATTGTCCGATCAGAAAGAGTCCTGTAAAAGTAAAATGTGCAAACATGCTGTCTTCATCTTAATAGAAAGCGTGTTACCTTTGCACAGTTTTACTGTCTGTAAAAGCTGATCCAAAGATGGGACAAAGGCCAAAAACACATGTGAAATTTGGGTATCTCTGGCTTTTAAATGTCTTATAACAGAGTTCTCCCACCAGTAGCTCCCCAAAGCATTGAAAATTCAACAAATTATCCTGTGGGATACATTTTGAGTTATTGCACCTCTTTTAACTACAAATGTTTTCATTATGTTCACTAATCTACAATATTATGGTATAAATTATGAAGTGTGTTCTTGATGATTTGATGTAGTGAAATAGTGGTTGATATAATAATTACAACTGTATAAAGGAGGAGTCCCCTGACATTTGTTGGGTAAAAGTAGCGCTCTGATCATAAAACAGAGTTAGCATATATATTAGCTACTCCTTGACTGGTGGATTGCATCAGGTAGGAAGATTCTGGCAACAAAGTTGGATAGTAATTGTAATCACTTTATCAGACCACTAATGTCGTATATAATAACCACAACATAGTAATAGTCCCCTTTAACATGAAAAATTAATGAATATAATATTGCCCTTCACGCTTTTTATCTGTGCCTTTGTGACCAGTTTGTCTTCATGTGATGGTGATATTGGCTGCTAGTATCAAGATCTCTTCCTTTCGAGATCATGATCAATGGTGACAGTGGGCTCTGACAGCAGACGCTACTCCCTCTTCACCACAACAATCCGACATAGCGACTCCATGACTGCACTGATCCATCTCACGCTCCATGCATCCTGTGACTGTGAACAAGATCTGAGATACTTAAAATACTAAATCATATATTTTCATTTGAACAAAAAGTCTTCAGTCATTGTGTCATTAAAAGATTCTTATTTGCTTTATTTGTAGCCCATATTGTTAAATCGGTGATATTAGGCAACAGTGAAAATCCCAGCACTTCTCTTCAAATCCATTACAACATAATAAACATTTGCAATCGTACATCCATTACTTGTGTTACGTTAGATACATTCATGCAAATACAATGTAAAACCATTGTTTATAGCTGCAACCAGTGAATTAGAACTTAGGCAATATTTTTTTCCATCATATTTTTGTTTGTAATTTTGTGATTGCTCGTTATCTCTAAATGAGAACGTGTCAGTTTTTTTGTTTTTTAAAGAATACCATAAGAAAATAGATCTGTCAACCACGTTTAGAGTTGTGCAAAGATAGTTTCTGAGATAGTAAAAACAGCAAGGGAGTTTACAATGATATCCCCATTTAAAGAAAATCAAATAAGTTAATATATATTTTATAGATTTGAACAGGAAAAAAATAACAACTGGATACACAAGACATGATGTAACAGGATGCAAGACATGTAGTATTCACGTGATTTCAACTGCATTCAGGTCCATTGTTGGTAGTGCTGAGGCAGTTGTGCGGTCAAACAGACTGTGGACAAAGGGGTGTGCAGCCTGTCTGGACCTAAAGCCTTGATCCCCATGGACGTTTCCATAATGCTGCCTTTCCCCTCAGCCACTTCTATTCAGACAGGAGACAACAAAAGACGTCTGGACCAGGACCATGACCGACTCTTTAGAATAGTGCTAGTTTAGGCAACATTTTAATACTATGCCTTTATGTCCATAGTCACAAATATTTTTTTCATTTAAATTGCATCACAGTATGAGGTAGTATTACAAATATGGCTTTTGATCCAAATGTCTGCACCACATACTCCGTAGAGCAAGACTGTCCCTCTCAGGTCTGGGTCGCTCGCTCAGACTTCTGAAATGGATGTAGTCGTCTGTGACCCAGAACTGATCGTCTAAAGGGAGTTCTCAAATGTTTGAATGAATCTTTGGTTCAACTGCCTCAGCTGCCACAACTTTACATACAAGACAAACAAAACAAACTTTATACATAACAATAAACAATCAGAGAAACCCTCAGCTACATGAGAGCAATAGCTGAAGGGCTGCTACATACGTGACTGATAATGTACGTGTCTGTTGCCACAAGATTTCAAAAGCCCAGTATAAAAGCTTAGAGTACAATATAAATGTATTATAAAACTGTGTTCTAATTGCAACGGTGGAGTGTCTAAGCCCTGTTTGACTTAGTCAAAAGCATCTAATGGGCAATGGCACAAGTTTCCACTAAACATTATGTACCTCGTTTTACACATTGCTCTAGTTATACTTTCTCATTTATTTACTGGTGAAATGGCACCTCAAATAAATAGAGATAGAATACTATTTGAAGTCACAATAGTGACTGATTACATGATTAAACTCCACCGCTGCCCTCTGCCTTACAGCCGTCCAGAGGACTATGTGCTCAGGGCGCTCAGAGAGTTTGGGGAAGCCAAGAAAAGTAACTCATCCATTCATAACCTGTATGACGTCACTCACCCACATACTATCAAGGGCTCACTCCACTATTGAGCCCAGTCTGGAAAGAGTGCATTCTATAATATTCACAGTAATCACAATGAGGAAACACTATAAAGAAATATACACAATATGTTAAAGTATGTACACAACCGTAGAGTAGGTGCTGGATTAGGTAGATGAATGGTAGCTTCGTTGAGCTGAGATCTATCTTGTGCTGATTTGGTCAGGGCAGTCAGTTTAAAAATGCTACGATCTTCTATTGCCGGATCAACCCTTTACAATGGACCAGTCTCCTCCTCTTCACTTTGAAGAACTCTGCAGACAGAAAACAGGAAAATTAATCATCACTCATTGCACATTCACAGTGCCCCCTTGTGGCAAATGGTGCAAGTAATGACCCTCACCTGTGATGGGAGCCTGTCGGGGCTTGCCGTGCCTATAGCATGCCCTGGTGGTCATCTCAAGGTACTCATCTCCTGAAGAGGAGGAGCTGCTGGACCCTGGAGAGCCCTCCCCGGAGGAGAAAGAGGCCCTACGCTTGGCCCCTGCTCCTGACCGTGTAGCTCGGGCTGTACAGCTGCGGTAGAAGGCAGGCACCTCCTGGAAACTCAGCTCCTCCCACTCCATGTCAGGGCCTGGACCAGGCTGGTCCCTCTGGAAGTCAAAATTCCAGCGCTTGTTGGCCACCTCCACACCCATGCGCAGTACTCTTTGGAAGTCCTGCTGCAGCTGCTGGTGGTCCACTGGTCCAAACAGGTTCCTCCTCACGGGGCCCACCTTCAACCTCAAGGCCTCAATGCCTCCAGAACTGGCCAGCTCTGAGGAGGCTGCAGATGTAGATGCTGATGAAGATGCCATGGTCATGTTCCTAAAACACAAATACATGCATGTGTGAGAAAGGCTCTTTTATATGCCCACATAACACATCACACAGGGCCCATGCCCCCAACTCTTTATAGATCAAACACACATGTGCCCACTGAGTGCTGAGTAATTACTGTGGGGGCAGGCCCCAGCACACACAACACCAAATAAAGTGCACATTAAGTGACTTACTCTTGACACCTGCCCGCTGCTCTACAACCCACTATAAACCTGTGCAGAGTTTATGAGGAATGTGCTGCTGCACACTTCATTAGAGCATCACTGCTGAAGGGCCCTTGGCTCCATGCGTCTAATTAACTTCGCCGTCAAGTGTCACCAATCCCAGGATTTAGATTGAACACATAACGGCTCGACCATGAGGCGCAGGTCTATGAAGCCAAACTAATATAATTATTTGATCTTTATCATAGGAGGAGAGAGTAGAACTAAATATAAGATAAACAATGTGTATAATAATATAAACCACAAAGACCAACTCTCGAGCACATATAATAATTATTATTATTATAAAGTAATTTTGTACAAATATGTTTAGTCAAAAAGCATTTCAACTGCGGAATTATGCGTTTCTTGTTTCTGTTTTGGTACATGCGCCACTAGTGAAAGTTGTTTTCGAAGATGTGGGCGCGGTTTTGCAGATCCACTTTCCAGCGGTGCGACCTACTTCTCCTACTTCTCACATAACCCCTTATTTTGTACCGCAAAATAAACACAACTTTTCTGTATCCACGACCAACACCGTAGCTGGTTATAAAAGTAAACTCATCAATCAAACAGTTCCGCGGAGGAAACTCAGCGCGTCTGACACAGTTGGAAAGTGAAGCGGTTACGCATTTGGGTCAATGAGATGGGATTTGGCAACTTGTCAAACTCCACAGTTTGCTCACATCCATTCAACACAAACTCAACACAAATTCAACACAAACTCATTTTCTTGTATTTAAAGTTTTCAAATAGGACAATACAGTTACAAAAGCACATCTTACCATAAGCGTATTCCAAAATGTTAGAATTTTAAAAAAGCCAATCACACAACTATTTAAAAAAAAAGGTTGGAGAAATATAACTTGAGATGTCCTAATCCGTGGTTTGAAAGTCGTCTCTCGCAGCTCCGTGAAATAAACACAGTCACGCTGAAAAGCTCAGAAGACACTGCCTACGGGAGGGTTGTCCCACTGCTTTATCTACAACTGTTTGTTATGGACTCATGAGGCAAGGCTGGGGGCCGGCCAGCGTCACGTGGGCCCGTCAAAACACGCATTGTTGAAGTGCATTAGCATTAAGACGAACGGTAAACGGTGGGGTCATAAATAAAGTTGCCTCAAAGGGCTGAAGTGTTAATGTGTACACTGTGGGTATTGCTGACGTGCGTTAAAACTGGGCTTAATACTTTCAACAGTAGTTTTCACACGCTTGTATTTTAGTCCTCTGTTGTCACCTCTTTAGATCAGATTCTCTGACAGAGAAGCGTAAAAATAAAGGACTGACATTAGCCCAAAAAGTCAAATAGTGACTCACACACACATCAATTTCGTACAAGTATGACAAAGATACTATAAGATAAAGACAGTATGTTGTGGTGTGATTTTACGTTTTACCTTAAACTTGTAAGAAATGAGGATGTATCTGATACTTACTGTATATACAAGCACCTTTTAATTATATTCTTATCTCTGACAGTACGTAATACCGGGTGCATTTTTTTTTTCATTTTGTTTGTCCAACTTTTATATAAATATAACATATACATAAATGGTCCAGTTCTGTTGGACAAACTAAAAAGCAGCCCAGCATCAAGTAACTGTTAGATATATTATATATATTAAACAAACAAAATGAAAACGTGCTTGTCCATAAGTATCTGAAACATCCTAATGTATTACTGCGTAATGTCAGTGAATAAAGTTTTCTTACCCTCTGTAAACGTCTCCGAAGGCTCTGGGTGATGCGCGTCTCTGTCAGGACCTGTGGCTCTGATCTCCACTGAGCTCTGCCTCCTCTGCGCGCGCGCAAGAAGTAGGTCAAATATTTTCGCGGTCGCGGCCATTTCCCTCTTACTGAAAATGTGACACACATTCTCGTGTTAGGCAAACGTCACGTTTTGTCTTGGCCCCGTGCCCACTCCTCCAAGTCACGTTGAAATGCAACGTGACATGAACCGCTGTACAGTACGCACATGCCTATAGAGCCGCGAGACAGCCCTATAAGGAGCGGGGACGTACAGTATGGGCTGGAAAAAGTTGCACAGAGACTTGTTTTGTACTGAGCATGACTGTATGGCTTATGTGAGCGTGTGAAGTGAAGTGTTAAGAGGGAAAAAAGTGATATAAGACAACACTTTTCAAACCGCAACAATATTTATATCATATTCATAATCATTATGTAACTCATTATCAGAATCAGAATCAAAACATGTTTTATTGTCATATCTAGTAGGAAGTAGTAGTTTGTAGGGAACAAACTAGGAATTTAGGAAGCTTTATCTCAGTGGTTCCCAAAATGAGGGGAGCTCCCAAATGCAGGGGGGGCACGGGACAAATGAATGAACGAAAATACAGCAGGCTAAATGACTCTGTTAGTATAAGATGGACACAGTTTTGGCACTGGTTTATAATAATTACAACGTGTGAAATAAACTGCTATGGACTCAGTGTTTATGTCCTTTTTATGTACCAGCAGAAATGGTTTGGCATTCACTGCTTTAGCTCATGGTGCAAATACAACACATTTATCATTCTAATAAAATGTCTACTGTATAAATACACTTATAAGACGTTTAACAGTACAGGTTATCGATAAGTGTCCAGATGTATAAGATTAAAATGTGACCGCAGTATTAAATGACAAGTGTAATGTAATTTTGTTATTATTATTATTATTATTATTATTATTATTATATATTCCACACATATAATGTTCATGGATCAGTTAGATCTAGTATATGGCTGAACCTAAAGCTGTAACTGTCCTACAGTACGATGTTGTAAATAAAATATATTTTTTCTCAACAAAAACAGAAATTGGAATTGAATGCTGTGTGTCCAGTACTATTAAAATGTTCAATAAAAAAGCTGCAAAAATAAATAGGGTTAGGGTTGTATTTGAAATAAGACTTAAAAAGGCCATGACTCATGCAACTGTGAATTACTAGGCAGAAATGGAAATGAACAAAATCTGCACCATGTTTCAAGGTAATTCTTCATAATATTTGACAGTAATCTGCAATATCATTTTTTTTTGTGATTCCAGAGGCTTTTAAAGTGTAATTTTTCACCTCTGTTTTGTCAGTGACGTAATGGAGTCGTCGGACAGGCCCAGCTCTATGACACTGTCCCATTGTCACTGCTATCATGCTGCCAACTATTACCCATTGTATTGCTCAAGCTAAACCAGTCATAAAAGTCTTAAACAGAGAAGCGGTGCACGTCATTGTCAAACAGGTATCAGTTTAGTGACCTGCCTCTAGTCATTATGTAAGTGTAACCCAGTGTTAAAAACGTGATTAAAAATATTACTGATTAAAATGTCATAATAATAAATATTGACAAAAAGTATATAAATATAAATTGATAAATATTGTTAAAAAGACGTAAAAAAATATATTTGGTTGACACCCCGAGCAGCCAATTGCGCTATAGTATAAAATCATCATTAGCCAATAAGGTCAAGTCTCCTCTCCTAACCTCTACGTCCTCTGTACGTGCTCGTCAGAGACGCAGACAGAGAGACCTTGTACCTGCTCCGGGGAAGCTAACCCCCAGAATCAGAATCAGAATCATTTTTATTGCCAACGTAAGTAACGGGAGGTCACAGACTTGGAAATTGCTTTGGCTCAGTGCAACAGTCAAAAAGAGATAATAAAAATAAGAATAAGAAACACTTCTAAAGAATAAATTTAAATTTAAAATAGAGTTACAGTTACTATTTACAATATACAAGTGCACATGGTGCACACAATGTAAGGTGACAGCAGTACAGTGAAGTAAAGTGACGTATGATGGGCAGTAAAGTGACTTTATAAAGGGCGGGGGGACAGGTTAAGAAGTGTTCAAGAGACCAACAGCAGAGGGGAAGAAACTGTTCTTGTGGCGGGAGGTTCTAGTCCTGATGGACCGCAGCCTCCTGCCTGAGGGGAGTGGTTGGAATAGTCCATGTGCAGGGGGTGAGAGGGGTCGGCTGTGATACGACCAGCCCGGCCTCGAGCTCGGGCGACGTACAGGTCCTGCAGCGATGGAAGGCTGCGGCCGATCACTTCCTCTGCAGAGCGCACAATGCGCTGTAGTCTCTGTTTGTCCCTGACTGTGGCTCCAGCGAACCACACGGTGATGGAGGAGGTGAGGATGGACTCGATGATGGCCGTGTAGAACTGCACCAACATCTGTGCAGGCAGCTTGGCTTTCCTGAGCTGCCGCAGGAAGTACATCCTCTGCTGGGCCTTCTTGATGAGGGAGCTGATGGTCGGCTCCCACTTGAGGTCCTGGGTGATGGTGGTGCCCAGGAAACGGAAGGACTCCACAGAGGTGATGGGGGAGTCCATCACGGAGGGTGGGGGCGGGGGGACAGTGCTCTTCCTGAAGTCCACAATCATCTCCACTGTCTTCTGGGCGTTCAGCTCCAGGTTGTTACCACTGCACCAGGACACCAGCCGGTCCACCTCCCTCCTGTAGGCGGACTCATCGTTGTTGGAGATGAGTCCAATGAGGGTGGTGTCGTCCGCGAACTTGATCAGCTTCACGGAGTCGTGGCTGGAGGTGCAGTGGTTGGTGTACAGGGAGAAGAGCAGGGGAGAAAGAACACAGCCCTGTGGGGCTCCT